ATTATCAACAACTGCTTTGATTATGAAATAGCAATGTTACTGACATAGTCAAAGTAACTTTTAGTTAAAACGAAACCATTTCAATGTCATCAATTTTGAGTTGGCAAATCATGGCCAAATCATTTTTGATCATGTTCAAAACATGGTCGACTTAGTTATTCCGTGATTATTTTGACAGGGTTACGAGTTATAAGTATGTTTATAACAAAAGATAAAAATGAGGAATTTCAGTGAAAAAATAGGGCATCCTAGGAATTCCCTTTGAATGTTTCACTTTTTTAGGAATTTTAGCCAAACTAAAAAAATTAGGGTTTTGTTAGGAATTTTAGGGACACAGTGGACAGCCTGCATTAGCTTTGAACCACAGCATCAGCATCCCGACAGAAAGTTACAGCAATGCAAGACCATCATCTGAATTGGTCACCTGAAATAAAGTTGACATACTGATGCACTGCTTTTTCATGGTGACCATGCAGATTGCTATGTGGAGCACAAGCAGCCCTTGAGCATAGTAATGTGATGCTGAATGCAGGCATAGACATTATCTTACCTGTAAAATAGAAAAAGCCAAAAGCAGTACCAAAATTTAAATCTCTTTGAATTCCTCGGCAATATATTTTTTAAAAAATATAGGAAAAATATTCAAAGTATAGGAGAATATAGGAAAAATAGGAGGCTTTTTAAAATATAGGATTCCGACTCAAAATATAGGAGTTTTATAGGAATATAGGAATTGGTTGACAGCCTGTGTTTATCGGATATCATTACCTGAGAATTAATGTAATGTTCCAGGTTCGGTACATTAGCTGCGGTCATCTTCGGTATCTTGCCGCACAAATCTCTAATCACAGTCACAGTCTTTGAGATCTCCCATAACCTTGAACTGTACCTGAATTAACATCATCAAAATGTGTAACAATTTTATATAATTCTAGGGTTTATCGCAAAATTACAGTAACTTATATGAAATACAGAAGAACTTACAACTGTATTGCGTTCAACCCTGGATATAAAAAAAAAATATTCATAAACTAACACAAATTATCAGTACATCATCACCTTAGTGCAGTAACAGGTTAACTCCTATTAAATTATATAATGAGTTAATCCCTTACTGCACTAAGGTGATAACATGTATTTCTTTTATTAGCTTCTTTTGTTGATACCATTAATAACAAAGGCATTGATGTTAACATGCCAAACTGACGTTGCTGATAAGACGCCACTTTTGAAGCAAAGTACATACATTATAAAATAAAATGTCAATTAATGTGTAATACAATAAATAATGCATATAGATGTTTGTATAATTTTTTAAAAACTTACTAATGAATAAGTGGATGTTAATAATATCATACAAATATAAATCCTAACAAAAATTGGCTAGAAGGTGACAATCTGAAAGACATAACTTACAACCTTGGTAAGGGTAAAAAAAAACTTTAACCCCCCCCACCCCCCAGATTTAAGAGTTAATAAATCTACCTACATGTTGGTAAAAGCAGCTTTCTCCAAGATTTCTGTACAATCATCACAAACATCAGTAACAACATCCAAAGTTATACCTGAAAAAACAATCACAGATCTTTTTTCTTTTTTGGAGAAGAAGAAATGCAAATCATAACTATAACATTGCAATTTGTGTCAGCGATTTTCATTGGACAATTATGATGTTTATATTATCCATATACACTGTTAATATGGTATACTGTCGACTTTGTGCAATAACTGATTAACTCCTATCAAATATTTTAAGGATTTAACCTGTTACTGCATTAAGGTGACAATATGAACAGCTGCTGGGCCATTAGAACCTATAGAAAAATTGCTAATAATCTATACGGGTTCAGATGGGTTGATTTATATGCACAGGTATTTAAAATAAAAAAATTTGTTTCTATACAAATGTATATCAAGGAAAGAATTAATGAAAACATACAATCTATGGCATAGCACCATATGTTCCATCTGCCTGAAGAGTGGTGGCTTGACCAAGTGGTATAGACTAGTCAGACTAACGGGTCAGACTAGTAACCTAACAAGAGCGATCAGTAATCACATGTGTCGCCTCATGATGGCCAATTTCATGTTGGGACAAATTTTGTGACAGACTGACAGACAGACGGACAGTGCACAACTAGACTAACCACTTTGTACTGATCATTCCTGTAAAATTTGGATAAAATTGCACCAGTAGTTTATGAGGAGTAGTCCGGACAAGCTTTTGCATATCTGGCAACACACAGAAAAAAAACACCTTTTAATCAAAGGGCCATAACTCGGCCAAAAATCATTCAACCGGAAAACCCGTGCAATATGCACAAGGACTTGAGCTACAGATCAATCCTGTAAGTTTCATTGAAATTGCATAAATGGTATAAGAGAAGTAGTCTGGACAAACTTTAAAAATAAAAATTATTAAAGGGCCATAACTCAAACAAAAACATTGAACCGGAAAATGCTGACAATATGCACAACTAGACTTGATACTGATCATTCCTGTAAAGTTTGGATGAAATTGCACCAGTAGTTTATGAGGAGTAGTCCGGACAAGCTTTTGTGTATCTGGCAACACACAGAAAAAGAAACCTTTTTATCAAAGGGCCATAACTCAACCAAAAATCATTCAACCGGAAAACCCGTGCAATATGCGCAAGGACTTGAGCTACAGATCAATCCTGTAAAGTTTCTTTGAAATTGCATTAGTGGTATAAGAGAAGTAGTCCGGACAAACTTTAAAATTAAAAATTATAAAGGGCCATAACTCTGACAAAAATCATTGAACCGGAAAATGCAGACAATATGCACAACTAGACTTGGTACTGATCATTCCTGTAAAGTTTGGATGAAATTGCACCAGTAGTTTATGAGAAGTAGTCCGGACAAGCTTTGCATATCTGGCAACACACAGAAAAAAACACCTTTTAATCAAAGGGCCATAACTCGGCCAAAATCATTCAACCGGAAAACCCGTGCAATATGCGCAAGGACTTGAGCTACAGATCAATCCTGTAAAGTTTCATTGAAATTGCATAAGTGGTATAAGAGAAGTAGTCTGGACAAACTTTAAAAATAAAAATTATTAAAGGGCCATAACTCAAACGAAAATCATTGAACTGGAAAATGCTGACAATATGCACAACTAGACTTGGTACTGATCATTCCTGTAAAGTTTGGATGAAATTGCACCAGTAGTTTATGAGCAGTAGTCCGGACAAGCTTTTGTGTATCTGGCAACACACAGAAAAAAGAAACCTTTTTATCAAAGGGCCATAACTCGGCCAAAAATCATTCAACCGGAAAACCCGTGCAATGATGGGCAAGGACTTGAGCTACAGATCAATCCTGTAAAGTTTCATTTAAATTGCATTAGTGGTATAAGAGAAGTAGTCTGGACAAACTTTTAAAATTAACAAAAATTATAAAAGGGCCATAACTCTGACAAAATCATTGAACCGGAAAATGCTGACAATATGCACAACTAGACTTTGGTACTGAATCATTCCTGGTAAAGTTTGGATGAAATTTGCACCAGTAGTTTTTATGAGGAGTAGTCCGGACAAGCTTTTGCATATCTGGCAACACACAGAAAAAAAACACCTTTTTTATCAAAGGGGCCATAACTCGGGCAAAAAATCATTCAACCGGAAAACCATGCAATATGCACAAGGACTTGAGCTAACAGATCAATCCTGTAAAGTTTCAATTGAAATTGCATAAGTGGTATACAGAGAAATAGTCTGGACAAACTTTAAAAATAAAAATTATTAAAGGGCCATAACTCAAACAAAAAATCTTGAACCGGAAAAATGCTGACAATAATGCACAACTAGACTTGGTACTGATCATTCCTGTAAAGTTTGGATGAAATTGCACCAGTAGTTTATGAGGAGTAGTCCGGACAAGCTTTTGGTGTATCTGCAACACACAGAAAAAGAACCTTTTTATCAAAGGGCCATAACTCGGCAAAAATCATTCAACCGGAAAACCTGTGCAAATATGCGCAAGGACTTGAGCTACCGATCAATCCTGTAAAGTTTCATTGAAATTGCATTAGTGGTAATAAGAGAAGTAGTCCGGACAAACTTTAAAATTTAAAAATTATAAAGGGCCATAATCTGACAAAATCATTTTGACCGAAAATAGCTGACAATATGCACAACTAGACTTGGTACTGATCATTCCTGTAAGTTTTGGATGAAATTGCACTCAGAGTTTATGAGGATGCCCGGGCAAAATTTTTTCGGACGGACGGAAGACGGCAAAAAGAAGACGGAGAAGTGATCCCCATTGTCGCCACTACTCCGTAGAGGCGACACAAAAATTGCTGACTGTGTGGGTTCAAACCCTGTCAGGGGCAAGCTGTGTTTCCTTGAGCAAGAAACTTTGCATTCATTGCTTAGTACTGGTTGGTTCCAGGAACAGATTCAAGAGTATTTCAATAAGCTTATAGATTCCAACACAATTGAACTAAAACAAATTAAATTTGCACACACTAAAACTATCCATCTGACTTGTAACAATAATGATATACTCATCAATTTATGTACCAATTATACAAGCTAGGCCAACCTTTACAATCAGGCAGGATTTCCAGAATCTACACTGTAAGCTATTTCATGTAGAAATTGAGTGTAGATCAAGCCTTTATTATTTGTTCAAAATATATTTAATATAATACAGTAGAACTTCAGTAAGTTGAAGCTGAAGGGACTTGCGTAAACACTTCGAACACATTGAAAAATTTGACACATACAAATTTGACTCATATATAGGTTTTAATAAAGAATGGGAGAAAAAAATCGGGACATTCATTTTACTTAAGACTCATGGAAAAAATGGATTTATGGTTAAAACTTTTGAGTTCTACTGTTTTTACATTAAAAAATCTTTGGGTTGTGGTCAGATTTTTTATTTTTTTCTATTTTATGTCATTTCATTACAAAAAAATTTATCAAAGTCCCTTTAAACCTAGATATATTGGAAAAGAAAATTGTCAATTAGCGAAGGTATCTTGGAAACACAAATCCAAACACAGCTCTCCAGTGCCTGCAAATATATTTATCTGACATGTATAATGCAAATAATTTTCTTGAATTCTGATTGGCTGAAACACTCTGTATACTATGTCATATATACCATGAAGAAAAGAAGCACCTACAAATAGCAATGATTTCTACATCCATAACGGTTATCTATGAGCATGCATAGTATTCATTATTACTTTCTGTCCTTTAGGGCATATTTCTCATCGTTACATTAAAAATATAAAAGTTACATTGCAATAATGACTTTATACTTGAATTAATTTTGATAGCCCGACATACAAGTATTTGTTTCAGTTTAAGACATGACATCATCTTTACATTCCACTTTTTCCTTTTTTTATGCGCTTTGATGAAAAACATTCTCGTTAATTTATGAAAATTGCCAATATATCCATATCGCTAATAGCCTTTCTGACATTTAAAAATATAATATAAACCTTCGTTAGCAATCTAAGAGTCATTTTAACTCAATTGGTATATTCCTGTAATTAACGTGAAGATGGGCATGTAAACCCGAAGATTAAACAAGGAGGTAATGACCAAAAATTCTATTACTTTTTCCAACACTCTAGTATAGCTTTTAAATCCCACGGTGGTTTTCTGTACACAATGTCTGTCCTAAAATATAAGCAAATAATCAATACATATCAAGATTCAACAGCAAACCTTTTTTTAACCATTAACCAGCTTGGAGAGTGAGTGAGTAGCTTTACCCACCAGAATAGAGCCACACCAACATTCACAACTGGTGGTGGTGGTGGTAGATTTTAATACTGATCACAACAATAAGTTACACTAAATTTACCAGAGTACAGTTCAGCCACACTTTCATAAAACTTCCCTCATCCATCTAAAATTACCATATTTCAATTCAGAAATTCATCAAAACTGGAAAATTAAATTATCATATTAATAAATTCAAAATTAATGCACTTTTACCATATATCATCATAGGCTTTTTGCATTTCCACTTCGAGTATTTTTCCTAGTGCCTCATGTAATACGGTCTTCATTTTACAGTACATGTCATCTACCTGTAATATACAATGTCAGTTAAAGTTCGCTCCCTTTCATGTTACTAAGTTCAAAAAAGTTAGCTCCCTTTCATGTTACTATGTTAACACAAGATACCTCCCTTTCATGTTACTAAGTTCAAAAAAGTTAGCTCCCTTTCATGTTACTATGTTAACACAAGATAGCTCCCTTTCATGTTACTAAGTTGACACAAGTTAGCTTTCTTTCATGTTACTATGTTGACACAAGTTAGCTTTCTTTCATGTTACTAAGTTAACACAAGTTAGCTCCCTTTCATGTTACTATGTTAACACAAGTAAGCTCCCTTTCATGTTACTATGCTAACACAAGTTAGCTTCCTTTCATGTTACTATGTTTACACAAGTTAGCTCCCTTTCATGTTACTATGTTAACACAAGTTAGCTCCCTTTCATGTTACTATGTTAACACAAGTAAGCTCCCTTTCATGTTACTATGTTGACACAAGTTAGCTTTCATTCATGTTACTATGTTAACACAAGTTAGCTCCCTTTCATGTTACTATGTTAACACAAGTTAGCTTTCTTTCATGTTACAATGTTAACATAAATAAGCTCCCTTTCATGTTACAATGTTAACACAAGTAAGCTCTCTTTCATGTTTCTATGTTAGCACAAGTTAGCTCCCTTTCATGTTACTATGCTAACACAAGTAAGCTGCTCCCTTTATTAGGCAATGTCAAAAATATGTCCTTAAAATATTTCAGTGGAAGGTATCTCCCAAAATCAGAGTGTTGGTACAAATGAGTTTTAGCTCAAAATATTGTAAGGTTAGCGTCCTGTAGTACTCATTACTAGAACAAGTTCGCTCTCTGTAATTAAATGTCAGCGCAAGTTAGCTCCCTTAAATACACAATGTAGTGAAAGTTGCATTTATAAAATTTCAACAACACAAAAAAGTAACTCCCTTATGTAAATAGAAGCAGCACAAGTTAGCTCTCTGCAATAAAAATGTCAAAGCAGGTTTATTTCCCTTTAACAGCAAAGTTGCTCCCTACAAACAGCAAGTTTAAATTAAACAGCAAGTTTGCCCCTTTAAAAAGCAGGTTTGTTTCCTTTAAACAGCAAGTTTGCTCCCCCTAACAGCAAGTTTGCTCCCTTTAAACAGCAAGTTTGCCCCCTTTAATAAACAGCAAGTTTGCTCCCTTTAAACAGCAAGGTTGCTCCCTTTAACAGCAAGTTTACTCCCTTTAACAGCAAGTTTGCCCCCTTTAAACAGCAAGTTTGCTCTCTTTAACAGCAAGTTTGCTCCCTATAAACAAAAAGTTTGCTCCCTTTAAACAGCAAGTTTTCTCCCTGAAAACAACAAGTTTGATCCCTACAAACAGCAAGTTTGCACCCTTTAAACAGCAAGTTTGCACCCTTAAAAAACAAGTTTGCTCCCTTTAAACAGCAAGTTTGCTCCCTTTAACAGCAAGTTTGCCCCTTTAAAAGCAAGTTTGCTCTCTTTAACAGCAAGTTTGCTCCCTATAAACAAAAAGTTTGCTCCCTTTAAACAGCAAGTTTGCACCCTTTAAAACAGCAAGTTTGCTCCCTTTAACAGCAAGTTTGCTCCCTTTAACAGCAAGTTTGCTCCCTAAAAACAGAAAGTTTGCTCCCTTTAAACAGCTAGTTTACTCCCTTAAAACAGCAAGTTTGCTCCCTTTAAACAGTGAGTTTGCACCTTTAAACAGCAAGTTTTGCTGCCTTTAACAGCAAGTTTGCTCCCTTTAAACAGCAAGTTTGCTCCTTTTAACAGCAAGTTTGCTCCCTATAAACAAAAAGTTTGCTCCCTTTAAACAGCAAGTTTGCTCCCTTAAAACAGCAAGTTTGCTCCCTTTAAACATCAAGTTTGGCCCCTTTAAACAGCAAGTTTGGTCCCTTTAAACAGCAAGGTTGCTCCCTTTAACAGCAAGTTTACTCCCTTTAACAACAAGTTTGCCCACTTTAAACAGCAAGTTTGCTCTCTTTAACAGCAAGTTTGCTCCCTATAAACAAAAAGTTTGCACCCTTTAAACAGCAAGTTTGCTCCCTTTAAACACCAAGTTTGCCCCCTGTAAACATCAAGTTTGCTCCCTTTAAACAGCAAGTTTATTCTCTATAAACAAAAAGTTTACTCCCTATAAACAGCAAAGTTGCTCCCTTTAAACAGCAAGTATGCCCCCATTAAACAACAAGTTTGTCCCCCTTTTAATCACCTAGTTTCCACCTATACCCAGCAAGTTTGCCCACTTTAAACAACAAGTCTGTCCCCCTTTTAATCAACCAGTTTCCTCCCTTTACACAGCAAGTTTGCTCCCTTTAATAAATGATGTTTATGTTAACTATGAAGAGTCAACTTTACGGAAAAAAAACTATTTGATGTTGTTTCTCACTGACCAGTGTTTCAATGGTAGATGTATTCTCCTCCTTCAGTATTTTATCAGCAAGACACGTCTGTTGAGGTGCAGCAGATAATGTCACCACGTTCTCTCCAACACTGGCTGTCTTCCCGCCACTGAGACAGACTTTATTTCCAGTACCATCCACACTATTTATGTTTTGGTAAACTTCAAGTCCATGAGAAGCTGGAGCTGGACTTTTAACGTAATCTGACTTCAGAAGGTTAACATTGCCTGTAGTGATGGATTTTCCCGCAAAAACTGCTTTGTCAACTTCGTTCAAGCCAGTCAAAATGTCCTAAAATGTTAAAATCACAATTTAATTTGACAATGTTACATGCATGGGTTAAGTTTTTCTTGAGATAAAGAACTTCTTCAATCATGTAAACATTTCATTAACTTTGACAAGAATTTCTTAATTACAAATCTAAAGTAAATAATCAACTAATAATAACATCATGTATGTCCTTGGACCAGGACTCAAACCATGAACCCTCAGAATACCATACCGCGGTACTGAGCTATCTGCTTACACACTATCTCCTGTAATTAGTGAAGAGGAGAGGAATTGATTTAAGTATTGTTTTACTTGTTTTCCAATCCTGTCTGAATTACATTGTTGTGCAATGTTTGTAAATGTCATTTATGTACAATTTATTGAATAAATAAAGTTTAAACTAATTAGTGAACAGTTCAATACAGTGACAGTTGTGAAAGGTATTTTTTTTGTCTATAGTAATAAGAAAAAATATAAGCAATCTGGCATAAGATTTTAACTGTTCTTTTTTGTAATTAAAATGGTCTTAACATAATGGTATAAATATTTAACATTGCAATTTCTTATATAAATGTCATTAATATACAATTACACCATGCTTTTACTGAGAAAAATGATACAAGTTGAACAAACAATCAACACAGAGTAAGTTTGAAGGTTTATTTATTGACCAACATTATTATGTCCTTATAAAAACTGACATTTTTTTAAAAAGAAACCAACTTTACTTGATTTGTAATAAGGAACGCAGCTTCCAATACATAGTCTATTCATTCTCTTTTCTAAATTAGACATATTCAGTAAGAATTTCATAGTTTTCAATAAATTTCTGTGATTAAAATATTTTACTCAAGGATGAGCACAGTATATCATTAAAGATAACGAGGGAGCAGAAAATCTGACTTACCTTTGCTGTGTAAGCCGACACATTACTCACGAGGGCTTTGTTGATCAAATTATTGTCATTTGTTAACAGCACAGCACATAACCCTGCAATAAAATTCTTTATAAATCTACTTTTGTCTGTTACACAGAAAAGGCCACTTTTAGAAAAAAAGTCCTTATTTTTCTCAACAAAAAATAATCTGTCATTACAATAACAAAGAAATCAATGAAGTACTGTTTCAAACCTAAAATGATAAAGAATGAGCATATATTTTCTATTAATACTTTTTGGTGAGTTTCTAATCACAGTAGCAAAAAGACAAGTAACACATACTTGATTTTTTTTTTTTTTTTTTTTTTTTTGAGGCCATACAATTTTATGATATTAAGATCATCCTAACATATTATACTTACCATTTTTCTGACACTGTAAACAAGCCTGGAGAATGTTGTCATCATTACACGTAGATCGGAAGTTGTCAGATGCTTCCTCAGCCTGAATTATAACATATTAGTGCAGTTATTTGTTTGTGGTTTTGGTTTCAATTTACACTAACACTGTTAAGGTAATATTTTTACCTTAGTGCAGTTACAGGCTAACTCCTATCAACTTCAATAGTAGTTAGCCTATTACTGCACTAAAGTCATAATATGGTGACCTATCTTTAATGACAGATGCATTATTTCAAGCACTAGATGTCACCTAAGTAGAACCATTGACCTCATTTAAGACAGCTGCTTTTGCTCCCTTTTTTCTTTTTTGGCTGGGTTTTATGTTGCAACAACACAGTAGAGGTCATATGGCCAGCTTTACTGGTAGAGGAAGACCTCAGGTGCCCCCCCCCCCTTCTGTACATTATTTCAGGCACAAACGACAACTGAGCAGAATCACCCATGATATGTAAGCTAGCTGGATAGCTTTCTCACATAAAAGAATCTGAAGACCCTTGCACCCCTTAAACCTACAGCAGTGAGAGGCAAGTGGTTTGAAGTCAACGACCTAAACCAATCTGACACAGATGCCCCTTATAAGATAGCTGGATAGCTTATTGATATTAAAGACACAAAGACCCTCAAGGGTTTCAAACCCACAGCAATGAGGGGTAAATAGTTCGAAATCAGGGACCTTAACCACTCATATTAATCTAGTATCTGTACTTCGTATTAATATTGTTCTATAATATTAAAATTTCATTTTGTTTAACCTTCTCATTAGTAGTTTGTGAAAAAGTATCTTAATCTGTAAACAAAACCATCCATCATGTATAATGAAAATTTCACAGTAAGGACTGACTGAATAGCAAACAGTGCAAACCATGAAAGATGAAATGCATGGTCACAAGGGTATATTCACTTGCCACCAGCAGGCAAGAGGTGAGTTTTTTTGTTGTTTTTGTTTAAATTCCTTTAATTTACAAAACAACATTTCGAAAATTCTAAGCTAGGCCAATGCCACAACTATAACTTTGGTGGAATAAGGGTAAAATCTAGGAGGTATTTTTATAGGTTTTTTTGCTCTTAACTACAAATTACTATAGTTGAAATACCTCTTTAGGCGTCTGTCCCTTGACACGAGGATGTTTACCACTGAACAACGTCTTCAACACACTGATGGCATGTCTCGCTTTCTACACAATGTAAATACATGAAAAATGTCAAACATGTACGTAATGGATCAAAACTGTTTTGTCCATAAATATCAGAAAGTTATTCAACATCTAATTCAGCCATTAATCTATTTAATAACTTAATTAAGCCTTATCAAGCCTACCAGCCATTATTGTAAATATGTACCTTAATTAACCCTAGGTCAGCATCTAATTAAGCCATTAATCAACTTAAATATCTAGTTACACCTTATTAAACCAATCAGCCATTCACAGTTCTTAAGTATCTAAATAACAGAATATAAATTTATTCAGCATAAAACTGTTATACAAAGTTTATAGCTAATTAACATATGGTATACATAATGGATGCAAGACAATGAAAACGTGTTTTCAGAAGAGAATAAAGATGCATATACTTCAACTATCCTGCTTAGTATTGTACAATTATGATATTCTTTTTTACTGGCAAAATGAATAAATCAGCATCTTATTAAGCCATTAAGGTGACAACAGACACTTTCCGTGGTACTTACATAAATGTCATTTAAACAAAGTTATTTTAATAATAATTGTTATTTATTTAATCTTTGTGCATTAAATGTCGTTGATCATCATAAAAAAATAAAATATTTGAAAAAAATGCCTTTGTAAATGATTGATTTTGAATAAAAATCCTAAAATTTTTAAATCGTCATATCAAAGTCATTTTTTAATTTTTGTCATCAAACTTTTGAAAATAACCATACTTATAATATCTAGGGAACCGTGTCTCAATTTTTTTCTATCTTTTCTCAAAAAAATATGACGTAACGTCAAAACTTTTATGCGACTTTTTTCACCATACATATTACGTAATTAAAGATAATTAAGTCGCCTATTGAGCAACAACAAAAATCCCTGACACGGTTCCCTCCGTAAATGAATTTCCTTTCATGTGCTTTAAACCGCATGTTAATTGCTTGATTATTAAAGAAGTTATGCCGATTCAAAGTTAGTCCGACCCGCATCAAACGAAGTGTCATAAATCGGCTGTTCTCTCTCGGACCCCTACGTTTCACGCTAAATAATTGCATAATACACAAATATCGCACCAGAGAGGGTCACAAGTTGCGGTAACATACTCTCTAACAACATTTTATGACCCAGTGACATCTGACCAATTAAAAAGCTGCTGATTGATATCAGTTTATAGCTGAAAATTTCTTCAATTCTTAACGTGATTTACTGATCGTCTGGTATCTGTCTCTCACATGTCACGTGACTATCGGTAAAATTTTGAGGCACTCAGTGGGGGGAAATGGAACGCATTTGCGCACCGCTAGCGGGGTACTTAATTGTTTTCCTTTTTGAAGTTTATTATTATTATCATTAGCATTATTATTGTATTATACCAGTATCACTCTGCCTGTGTATTCGTGTATGAAATTCTGTTAAAATACAAAAAAATAACAAAAAACTAAGCTTCTGACAGTCTTTAAAGTCCATGGTAGATGTACAAATAAGCACGGGGTATTATATATCTTTTCCACCAAATTGATAATGCTTCACATATTTTTAATAGAAATAAAAGGTATTACTAGATCATTATGATCTGGCCTTCTTGACTTCTATTATGAATATCATCTATGCACGGCAAGAGATCCAGTTTCTACCGGGGATACGTCTTTTAGACAATAAATTTTCATACTTTGTCCCAGATTTTATTAGTACTGTGTCGATTTACTGAGAACAATTTATTTTCACTGAGAATATTATTTAATATCTTTTTTTTATTTAATGAGAAATAATCATCCTTAGACAATCTAAAATGGTTTAGAAATTTGTCAGGGATACCTTTCCACAAGTCACATAGGCGTTCACATATAAAATGTTGTCTGTTTGTTGTTTGTGTTTTACTTGACATTGTTAGAAAACGAGGCTGAATGTAAAGTAAGCCCTTGAATCCGTACAAAAGTCTATCAACTCAACGTAATATCTATCAGATTAACGGGACAGACAAATTATTTTCACACATTATGGATATTTTTAGCAACTACATTTTTAATCAACCCCGTGGTCGTGCGATTTGCCGCTATGCTTAATTATTTATGTTTCATACATTATGTTACGTACATTGGCCGACAATTTCTTAATTTATATAAAAAAGGCTAAATGTTGAGATATTCATAAAAGATGTACGTTAGTTGTACGATACATGTATTACGAGAAGTATGGACCAGTATGGACGTGTAATTCACGGATATATGGAACTACCGATTTCCTCATTGATGCCTCAACAGGGGGCGGAGCGCGTTATCGATAATCGACAGGTTACGCGAATAGCAGATACAAATAGTATAGGTTCCGTTTTAAAACGTTTAAAAACACATTTTTTGGACTAACTGCTTCCAAAATTAAATCACAAATGTGTTCAGAAAAGGTTAATAAATCTACTTAGCAAAAAATCTCATTTTAGGTATTTTCAGTGATAATTGACTCCGTTGTCACCTTAATCTAATTAAGTCTCTAATCAAGCCTTAAATTAGTATCTAAGTCATAAATCAGCCATTGATTTTTACCAATTATCTTATCTAAGCCTAAAGTAGCTATGAGAAGTAATTTTTCAAATCCAAGGACCTGATTACCAGCCATTCATCAATCTATTAAACTTTCCATAAGTTAACTGCACAGCTTCCTCACATGAAAGAATCCAAAGTGTCTGGCTGGATTCAAACCAATAGCAATTAGGAGCCAGTGGTTAAGTGAAAACTACCTTAGCCACTCAGTCACGAATGTGCCAAACAATATGCTTGAGGAAAATTACATTATAAAAATCAATCAATTGGGCTTTACTTAAACATGACATAAGAAATGTCTATTAAAGAAAGTGTTGGTTTAGAGATTAAAATATCTGCCACAATGGGTGTTCATAATCATATTCCCTCTTACGACACCAGTTCTGTTTATTTGCCAAAGGTCCATTTGAGATAGGTCCAAATTTGCTTCAATCGCTCATCAAGCTATAAATAAATATGTTTAATCTAAGACCTGATTTTTTACCTGTTTTGGCTTGTTTCCAGTCTGTTTCTCCTTCATGTAGTCTAGTTCACATAAAACAATCCATGGAATGTATAAGCATAGTTTTGCTCTGTCTCTACCTATAAATACATTAGAAATACACCAAAATATATCATAAATGCAGAAACGCAACCACCTATAATATATTTCTATATTACAAAAACAAATACACCAACAAACATATTTCAAAAACCATATGAAAACAACATCCAGTTTTTTTTAATTTTATAGTATACTTTTCATAGATTTTGGTTTATTTACTGTCACAGGCATGTGACACACCCTAAGGAGTTGGTTAATTTTTGGGTAGTGCATAAAACAGTTGTTTCCCTTTTCAAGGAGGGACCCTGGTTCATTTTACATACCTGGCATAAAGCAACAATACATGGGACTTTGTTTTAAAGGTGACATATCTATAAGACCATAAGTGCTGTAAGTTGTGATATGGGAAATCGAACTTGTGACCCTTGGATTACTAGTCCAGCTTTGTCAGATTTATAAATTCTAACCTACATGTAACAATGGACTTGTCCAAATTCTAAACTGGGGAAGTCCATTACACAAATTTAGGGGTATTTAGGGGTATAAATGATTAAGAATAACTAACCTTGAAGCTGATAATCTTTGAGAGTCTCAAACAGAGCCAGGTTTGAGATGAGCAAATTTAGGGGTATTAAGGGGGTATAAATGATTGAGAATAACTTACCTTGAAGCTGATAATCTTTGAGAGTCTCAAACAGAGCCAGGTTTGAGATGAGCAAATTTAGGGGTATTAAGGGGGTATAAATGATTGAGAATAACTTACCTTGAAGCTGATAATCTTTGAGAGTCTCAAACAGAGCCAGGTTTGAGATGAGAACATTGGTATCCACAACCACTGTAATGATCTGTAAAATAGTAGTCAAAAGTTTTGACTGATATCTTGTATAGAATGGTTTACAACATTTTGATTTTGATTCAAAACAAAAATATTGTAAACCATTCCACACAATATTGATTTGATTGAAAACAATAATAATTGTAAACCGATCCATACAGTATCATTTTCGCTGAAAAAGAAAATTGTAAAAACAATATTGTTTTGATTCAAAACAAAAACATTGTAAACTATTCCATTGCAGTTTTGTTCTGAGTGAAAACCAAAAAAAATTGTATACCATTCCAAACAATATTGTTTCTGTTGAAAACATAAATACTGTAAACCATTCCACACAGTATTGTTTTGATTCAAGACAAAACTATTGTAAACCATTCCATACAATATTGTTTTGATTGAAAATTGAATTCATGTAAACCATTCCATACAGTATTGTTTTGATAGAAAAAAAATTGTAAACCCTTCCATACAATATTTGATTCAAAACAGAAATATTGTAAACCATCCCATACAAAATACATCTTTAACAAGGTGTACCTGGTTTGACAATTCTATAAGTTTTTCTATAAGCGTAGAAAAAAATAATTACGACTTTTGTAAATTGATCACATGTCCGCATTGATCAGATGTAATTGGAGCATTGTTCTTATTCTGAAACAGGTGATCAGTCAAATAATACCCTGAAATTCCACTCTGATGGTCAGTAAAAAAAAGATAGGACAAACTAAAAACACAAATTCACCATGGTATAGATTAAATGGGCCATTCTCTCTTCTAACCTGATTTTCACATGTATAATTGCACAGAAATCAATAGTTGATTAATAAGAGGTTAATACACGGCAGGAGAGGGCTGGAAGGTGATAATCGGCCTGCAAAATGAATAATGGACCCGAGGGCTTTAGCCCGAGGGCCATTATTCATTCAGGGCCGATTATCACCTTCCGGCCCTACGCTGACGTGTATTAATGTCTTTAATACACTTGGTAGATCTAATAGTAGCATTAAAAAAAATAACAAAAACATAATCAAAACAAATAGACTTTGAAGTTCTTTCGTTGAAATTCTTGTCTACTCTTCTACTGTTCTGTACAGAGATGTTTTCTGTTTGTGTGTTCAAAGCAGTAGAACCAAGAAGCAAGTTTTATTTTCATTTTTTTCGGAATGAATTTGTCGTAGATCTATTATTTCTTCAAATTTCAATAGTAACAAAAATGTGTTTGTACTAAAAACGTTTAAGGTCTCATAATAAAAATAAAGCGATTCGTGCTGACAACCGACTTTCACTTTTACAGTTAATTGTTTGATGACGTTAAACGTGACGTCATTGTTTCAGTTTGTGCACGTGCACATGTTCTGCGGGCTGATAACTAGTTCTCGGCCCCAGGCCGCAAACTCATAATAGGTCACGTGACACTCATAATCAGTTGAAATCATAGGCAATTTTGTTACTATATATAGTAACAAGTGTATTAATAGAAAATCTGACGTAACTTCGTTTTTACCTTGCTTGTTGCTTTCATAGGTGTAAATTTGTCCGTATAATCATCAAAGCTGCTAGCATTCTGATTACCAGACCCGCTCACATGCTGTCGGACCTCAACCAGAACCTCGTCTATATCCATCATTTCCTCCTCATTCTCTTCAACGGGTAATGTCACACCTTCATCCACTGGTAAGTCTCCGCCTACTCCTATTGGAACTGCCCCGCCTTCTCCAGCCCCGCCTTCTCTCTCAGCCAACTTCCACACCACCTCACCATGTAATTTCTCATCAATCAAGCACTCGTCCACCTCCATACTGACTACAGGCCTTGACACGACATCTGCATCCTTGACGTCTGCTGCCCAGCCTGTTGTTGAAAATAAAAAGAATAGATGATTCACTAGATAATGTATCATAATGATGAACTCAGACTCAAAATAATGTCAAGTTTAGAATTCATAGATCCCTACTCTTGACCTTTTATTTGAGTAACAATAGACTTAGCCACAGACATTGACATTTGCTCTTTTGTTAACAAATATGAAAGCCAGCAGGACAGAAGGACAGCACAAAAGGACAGGAAGCGCAATCTATATGCCCCAATACATCAAGTGGGAGAGAGAAAAAAACACGAGAAATGAAAAAGACATTACATAACTAACCTTTTTCAGGAGGTGAGCAGGTCTTGCTTGTAGTATTTGTTACATAGCCACTATCAACTGAATCATTCACTTGACCTAAACTAACCTGTATTAAAATTAACATTGATATAATACATGTATATTTGTATAATTATATTTTTTTCACAAGGGTACCATTAAATTAAATTTTAAAAGTAAACATGGAAATTCAAAATAGATCTATAGACATATACCCTTAGTATGTCCCACATTGACTTTAATATTTACTTATGTTTACTATCAACATATTGATGAACTACTAACAATGATAAAGTGTATGGCATAATCCAACTTATGAGGTAAGAGAACCTATTTTTTTAAAATAATAACTGTACTTTTATTGCGATTCGGTCAAATATCTTTAAAGAATGCAGCCCATGAATCAGAATATAAAAACTACCTGTGAATAAGAATCAACTGACGGACTCTCGGATCCTGCTCGATCCTGTAGATTATTGATCCAAGCCTGAATACTCAACAGTTTGTCTTTATCCCCAATAAACAACTTATACTCAGCATTATTGTTACGATCAAAATCTGAACCCTCGTCGGGCAACTTGGGCACTCGTTCCTCGCCAACATGCTGAATTGGTGCACTTCTACTTACATTTGAGTCACGAGTTGATGGAGTTAATTTACGAATGCATTGAGAAGTGTTTGTGTTAGTAACTGGTTCTGTTTTACCTAATGTCTCTGTGTTAGTTGCGGGTGTCTTTTTAACTAATGAATTAACGCTATCGCGTGAATGACAAGATCTGACAACTCTACGTTTGTCTTCACCTACATATAAATATGTGTCTAGTGAACATTCTGTCTTATTTACCTGGCTGTTTATTTTTTTCTTTATCTTTGTTTGCGGATCGTCTGAAAGGTCAATTATTTCTTCCCGTTTATCAAAATTCGGGCACTGAATTTCGGTGCCTGTCTTCCGCCTCTTGACTGCCTGTGAATCATCTGTCAAGTTTCTGCTTGAATTTGTGTCTTTCGTATTTTCACGACCACGTTTCCCTACATTTAAGATAGTCCTCAAGTCTTTACCCGCAGATTTTGAATATTCCTCATTTTTCTGCGCGCAGCTTTTGTTTGTAGAACAGATGACTTTGGCAATTCCGGCACTTTTCTTTGGAAACTTTATCGGGGACAAAGTTGTGTGCTTTGGCTTGTTATCAAGGTATGACACATCTTTAGCCACATTTTGTTTTGTATATGAAGGCTTATATGATTTAAATGTCACCGGTTGTTGCGATTTTGAGGATGTTTGCGGATTACTTTTAACTTTTTGCTGTAAACAGTTGCCTAATGAACAATCAGGTTTTTTATAATGATGATAACTTTGACTAACTTGAGCAGAATCTTCTTTTTTATCATTGTGCAAATCTTTCTGTACAGAACTTACAGTCTTTATACCTGTTCCTGCATATTGACAAACTTTTTTCACACTGTAAGGCTGATACTGGCTTTTCACCTGGCCTGAAAACTTTTTATCTGGACTGTACTGACATTGGCTTTTTGACTGGCATGAAAACTTTTTATCTGGACTACGCTGATATTGGCTTTTTGCCTTGCCTGAAAACTTATTATCAGAACAGGACTGATGTTGACTTTTGGCCTGACCTGAAAACTTATCGTCAAGTACACCTCTTTTCAACTTCGACATTTTACTATCATTGTCTGCTTGTACGCTTCTTCGACACTTAAGCTGAGATAAAGTATGTGGTTTTAATGAATTTCTACCAGGACATTCTAAAGCAATGTTACGAGTTTCTCTTTCAGACAAACTTTTTTTATAACTATCACGTGTATTACAAGCACTGGTATCATGGTGTTTATTATGACTAGATTTGAACTGATTGTGTGTGTCCTGCGGCTGTGAGGTTTGTTGCGGGGATGTTGTAGAAACGGGTAATTTCTCTGGTGACACAGCATCAACTACGAGTGACGTTGCTGTTAAAACTGGAGCAGCCGTCATGTTTGTATTCCCACTCTGCAATGAACGAAGAAATTTTACATATAAAAGACTGATGTGGACATTTAGTAATATTAGCATTTTTAGACAAACAGTACAAAAATCTGCTACCTGTCATGATTTATACACATTATTCTCCATTATTCCAGCTTCATAAAAAATATATTGCACTGCTTTATTTACAAGATACTATTAAAGGAACTCCACTGAGGTTTATTAGCGTAAAAACATAAAATCTAAATTTTTCACATAGATAAACATTAGCACTTAAAAGAGAAATACAATTAAAATATAACCAAGAAATATACAAGACATACATTGAAAATGATATGTTTGTGCTATGCTAAGTCCGTTTTGATTTCAATTTTTGATCATTTTTCACTATTAAAATAATTATTCTGGAAAAACGGAGCAAGCTGATGATCTGATATTCTGCACATAGGTTATTAGTATAGATCTTCATCAAATGGGGTAATAATCTCAAAAAATTATTTCCAGTTTCGTCATGTCAAAAACCTCAGTGGAGTCCCTTTAACATAAACATTTTTTGTTTTATTATAAATTTGACTATTTATTGTCATAGCAACCATGTACTGTATTTGTAAATATGGCAATAGAATGAAGTGAAATGTAAATTGTCTATGTAAAATATTTTCAATTTATTCATTGCTAGATGAAATTAATTAATTTCTAACATTTTTGCTGTAGAGTTTGTCTTGTTCCCATGGCATTAGTTTAAAGATCTTGTATGTTGTGAGCAAAGTGGTTAACCACACTCAGTGAAATTATACATATGTATATAAATATGATAATAAAACAATTTTCAAACATCAAAGAATATTGAAAATATGTACTGCAAATATTTGTGCATATTACATGTAATCATTAGAATATAAATGCATTCATTTCTTATTGGAAAATTTGACTCAAACTTTATAGAAAATCAATTTCTAATTACCTCCCTTTATTTACATGAAATGTTAAATTCAGTAATATCTTTATAAATAATGCTTTTTGGAACCTACAATATTGATAAATCTTAATTTGAGCATCATATTTATGATTTAAAACCATAAATAATTGTGTTACAGGATCTTTAATATAAATAAAATTCTGCATGTCTTTTGTCCACAGTGCCATCTATCCATATGTCAGAATATATAGATTAAAATCACTATGTGACCTTTCAAGTTAACACTTATTTACCTGTATTTGATAAATGCTCAGTTTCGTGCAACATATTCACTGTAACAGGACTTCATTTATTGTTACAGTGTTTTACATGTATCTATGTTAAGTATCTAAAACAAACGTGTCAATCTTTCAATCTGGAAATAGCTTTTAATCATTTTTTACGGAAAATTAAAATAGATACTTTAGATATAAAAAACTTTAAAAATACCGGCTTTATAAATACTGGGAAAAAACCTTTAAAAATACCAGCTTTATAAATACCAGAAAAAAAAACTTAATAAATACCACATAATGCTGAAGAAGATCTGGAAATTCCCAAGAACTCGCACCAGAGTTTACATTGAAATAATAAACCCGGTCTGGATATGTTTTTGACTGCTTCACAATCCAACCAAATGGCAGCTCAGCTTTTTTGTCATCCATCTGAAATATAAAAAATACAAAGAGCTGTCTTTCTTGGCACTTATTTCATCAGATACTACTGTACATTTATGATTTGCTATTTATATTGGACATTAATATTAAAAATTTGAAAAGTTTGTATGATGGTTTTTGTATTCTCTGATCGCAGATCAGGAAATACAATGCTGACATTAAATCTCTGGCACAGAATTTCACGACAAACCTAACGCAGCTTAAAACTAACAATGTAAAAGAAAGAAATATTTGGGTTTTTTACAAGTATCCAACAAATTACAACGCATTCAAAGTTTAAAAGTAGCGTTGGCTTATAGAATTGTCAATAAATGCACAATCATAAATTACGCGGATGAATATCATTTCAATCAATGAAAATGCCATTTTTAGCGATGTTGATTATCGAATACTTCAGAGCGTTTAAGTACAGAAATAAATCTGACTGTCGAGTAGTGGAATATATACATGTCGGACTGTTTTGGTGAAAAGATTTTCCCTAAAATATTTACATCAGTGTTCAACAACAGGTTTATCGTGAACAAAATATCTCGAAATTAATAAGGATTACAAACCCGAAATGGAAATTCTAAATATAGAATTATTTGATTTTATTCAAGCTTTCTTCGTATAACTTCCCATGGTGCAGGGGTAACGCGCTCGTTTAGGGTGTGAGAGGTCTGGGGTTCAGATCCCAGTCGAGGCATCTAGTGTCTTTTTTAAGGATGTAGCCACGATATGCAAGGATTAAGTGTGGCTGTCATGAAAAAATGAACATAAATGATTTTTTGTTGCAAATCTAGTCATACCAAATTCGGTACATGTATGACATTGTATCAAACTCAAACTGTTATAGTAAAAAAACTATTTATAAATAATGCTTTTAATGCTGATCAAACTAGGCACAAATGATTACTGGACCTTTGCTTTTGTAACGGCATGCTCAATCTTATATTTTATGTTACCATGGGAATGAGGGGACATCTCCAAACTGCCAAAAATCGCTATTTTGCGTTGAATTTTTCCATTAAAACTGATTTCAAAGTGCTGCAACCTCGCATAATGGATTGAGATAGAGTCAAAGAGTTAGACTTTTCAGTTCTGGTTACACCTTATCTTAAGATAGACTTTTATCGTGAGGCCATTTTGAGCCTCTCACAAGTACAAAATTTTCTTAATATTGAGGGGGAGGTAGCCCCCTTCAAACCCCCTTGCAGAAGAGGGCATATCCACCCTCTGGTAGCATGGGACCCCATATTATCGTCATACTTAGTTTTTTCTATATGTCTGTGATGAATTTAATAGTCCATATTTTGTGTGAAGCAAAACAAATTCAATTTATCATAATACATGTCTTATTAAATGAGGTCAAAATTTTTTGATTTCACCGTATCCATGACCACTCCTGACAAAATACTGAGAGTAGATCTACGCCGGTAATAGAGTTGCGCCGATAATACAGAGTAAGAGTATGAATCTTTTTGATAGGGGGCGGCGCAAAAAGAAGTAATCACTTTCATTTCTCAAACATAAAAAGTGTTTGAGGCCTAAAAAGGACATTTTTTCACGATTTCACGTATAAAGGGTGGGAGTGACAGTGCGTTAATTTGCGTATATATGAGGTAAAGTGTTAATACTGTAGTCGAAATATTGAGGAATATTTGATCGCGAAAACATGTTACTTTACACATAATTGCTGTCAACGACAATTTGTAAGTCTAAATACAAGCAGTATTTCTAAAAATATCACTAAACACGATAACTGCAGCTTATATTTTCAGTCCAATCTACCTACAGATTAATTAACGAAAACAAAAACAAATGAAAGTTAACAGAAAACATAGGTAATCGGCGCGTTGATTGGTCACTACACCCGCACCCCCTCCCCCTGCCCCCCACACCCACTCTACAGCCCTCCTACCTCTCAAAACCATGTAAAATACAGTATTTTTCATTTGAAACATGTTTTAATATATGGTTTATGCTTTTAATTCAATAACCTTCATTTCCTACAAAAAATAAAAAATTGATACATATATATTTAGTAAAGGTATGCAACTCGCCGCTCAATTTTCAGCACTCATCTTAATATGAACTCCATAACTTCAACATTTTTTCACCAATTTTCAATATTTTGGTACCAAATGGTAGGGAATTGAATTACTCTTAAGGAATTAAAGTTGTCATTACAATCATTTCAAGTTATAAGAAGATATGTAATCTCGAAGTCACCGCAAGTGTAACTCGACAGTGATCTGACCGCTGGGTTTTCTTCAAAATTACCCGACTAAACGGCAGTTTATTCGAAATGAATGCATATTTCATTGTATTGCGCATATAAATATGATCAAATTATATTATTATTTGTAATAACTGTTCAATCAAAACATCTTATTAAACTATAACAAACCTTTTTTTCCTATATGTTAAATTCCAAATTATAATGCAAGTAATAGTTCTACAGAGTGCTCTCCCCTTCATTTTTTGTACGGAGTATTTTCATTGGTCTAAGGTTTTCATACGACCAATGAAAATACTCCATACGAATGCTTCCGTTTATACATGTGTACTTTCATTTTGGATTGGAGAATTTGGCATATCGGAAAAAAGGTTTGTTATAGTTTTATTAGCTGTTTTGATTGAACAGTTATTACAAATAATAATATAATTTGATCATATTTATATGCGCAATACAATGAAATATGCATTCATTTCGAATAAACTGCCGTTTAGTCGGGTAATTTTGAAGAAAACCCAGCGGTCAGATCACTGTCGAGTTACACTTGCTGTGAATTCGAGATTACATATCTTCTTATAACTTGAAATGATTGTAATGACAACTTTAATTCCTTTAAGAGTAATCAATTCCCTACCATTTGGTACCAAAATATTGAAAAATGGTGAAAAAATGTTGAAGTTATGGAGTTCATATTAAGATGAGTGCTGAAAATTGAGCGGCGAGTTGCATACCTTTACTAAATATATATGTATCAATTTTTTATTTTTTGTAGAAAATGAAGGTTATTGAATTAAAAGCATAAACCATATATTAAAACATGTTTCAAATGAAAAATACTGTATTTTACATGGTTTTGAGAGGTAGGAGGGCTGTAGAGTGGGTGTGGGGGTGAGGGGGGAGGGGGTGCGGGGGTAGTGACCAATCAACGCGCCGATTACCTATGACAGAAAAAAGGCGAATTTTACAGTAGCCACCAAGTTACTGTTAAAGTGTTATTAATATATAATTAGAAATAAGAAAAATGGATTTACATTGGACACAAATAATATGTTAATCTTTTAATTTATCAGGTAATTTGTGCACTAAGCTGACATGATACATTATTTTCACATCTTTGAATCGTGTACATTTTCAGTTCAGTTGGGTACATGTAGTAGGTTCGACACCACCAAATGTTTTCCTCCCTTATTTATATTATATAGATCTATTGCTATCTTCTCCATCAGCGTGTCCAGCGCTACCCTTTCTAATTCCCAATGGTAGAATAGAAGCTTTCTGAAGCTTTTTGAAAGATCCTAGCTCTAGCAATGGTAGTATAGCAACTGAGGCAATGTAAAGACATCTTCAAAATTATTCAATGAATAATTAGATCAAATGAAATTATTTATTCATATTCCGATTTACGTTTTCGGCCGGAGAAGTATATACACATATACCAATATCTAGAATACAATGGCAAAACTGAATAGCTGTTTTAGAAGTGTGTTCTCATAATTCAGTGACCATGCACTGATGATTTAACACTCACCCAGCTTAGATTTAACACACTCAAACACACTATATTCAATTTAAATTAAGCACAATATCACTTACTCAAACTAAATCACACTCACACACACTCACTCACATGCACTCACGCTAGTTACACTCACTAACTGGCTCTTTCCCTCAATAACTATTTCCGTCAGTAACTCGTTAATTCACTCATTCTTTTACTATATATAAACTCTTTCTTAATCTCACTCATTCTTTAATAAAGTCACTAATTCTTTAACTCTTTCACTCTTTAACTCGATCACTCATTATTTGGCTCACTCATCACTCACTCGCACATCAACTTATTCACTCATGCATTAACTCACTCACTAACTCACTAAAGATCCTTGCATTGCATTGTCGTTTTTAGTATTGGCGATTTATTCTCTATGTATACTCTAGCTTAGATAGACTGAAAACATTTCCGCAGAAACCCCGTCCTTCCGGAACATAACATTTACAGGGAAGTTAAGTAACACAACTACATGTACAAGTCTGAAATATTTCTAAATAAGTTATCTTCTTTGAAAACATAACAGGCACGAAAGAGTGGTACATGTATTATAAATTCATGAAAACGTGATCAAGCGGATCCAATTGCCAAAAACGTGCGTGTAAGATCACGTTCACGTCAGGCCAAGTGAGTCATATAAAAATAAACGCTGTACATCCTAAAAAATCAAATAGTGATCCAGAAGAGTGTGTTACTTAAATTTGGAGGTTTCTCTTTACGGCAAAAAAGGCCTAAAGGTCTAACCCAAGGAAGATGACATCGAGAGGCCTGCGTGACATGGTCGTTTTTGGACTGATGATTTATCTTTCTGTATATTAAGTGTATTAATTTTCGAAATTGACATCATTTCAAATTTCTAGTGTTAACCGTTCGACATCATATGTGATTCCGTTGCGGGTTAGCTTTCTCCTTTAGTTTTGAGTTTCCTCTATACAGCAAAATAAGGCTTAAAGCTCTAATCAAGGAAAATGACCTTTATATGCCCAAGTTGCATTATAGGTTTTGGACCACTCACTTAATGATGTTTAATACTATCATCATTATTTAGGGTACGACTTAAATATGCAACGGAGATAGTTTGGCCTATGCTATGTCCTTTGGTCAAAGTGCGCGCATATTTTGTATAATTTTCATTAGTTGAAATGATGAAATCTCTCACTATTAATTGCTAGTTGGTGACATTTTTTTGGACACCAAAAGTCTGTTAAAATGCCTTCAAACAAACAATTTTTTTAATAAACCTTAAAAAAATATAGCAAAGACGTTGTGTAAAAATTTTCTTCGATTATTTTTTCTCTTTTTGTTTTAACAGTCCTGGGATGCTTGTTATCTAGCATAATTATGATATTAACTCAGCCTGGTTGGCATTTAAAGAGATTTGTATGGAAATTTTTAACATTTATAACATGTTACTCCCAATAAAGAAATCAAACTTAAAGATTATAGTATGCTCAAATTTGATTTTAGAATATATTGATAATTGATACATAGTCTCTTTGTAAATATGAAATATACACACAAAGTAGATATTTTATGTTATAACACTCTACACACTATAAATAGTAAAAATACAGGGCCGGATCAAGACATTTTGGGCGGGGGGGGGGGCTTATGTTGATCCTTTCTATTTCGGTTTATTTATACTCGGCGCCGGAAATTCCATATGTCCGAGAATATAGCATCCTTGCCGGTCCACTAAGGTAGTCACATCGGGGACGTCTTTGTCAAGCTGAATCTTCCTGTAGCCTATTCTTCGTTCGTTGGTGGTAGAGGAGTACGACAATACTGGCCAGGCATCAAGTTCCATACTGACGATAACAAAAACGGCTCTCATTTAGCGCCAACCCTCCAGAGTTAGTCACGACAGGTCAACCAATCACCTCTGGTACTTAAGATGACTTGACCTTGACCTGCCGTGTGCCTTCTCCGCGACGTGCACGCCTCTGGAGGGATTTGGAGAAGACTTATGTTGAAAGACCAAACTCCCTTTTTAAAGGGGTTCTGTCCCGGGAAAAACGAAATGTACATGTTAAATGGTGGCTTCTTTTGCATTTTAGGTGCACATTTTGAAATGGAAGTGTCTATATATATTTCTTTTTCACAAAAAATCAGATTTAATTAATTTTGGGTTGAAATTACATGTCATTTTTGCAAAAGTGGAAGACAAAAAACTTAATGTTAACTGATTTCTAGGGGAAAACTTTGATTTTTTAAAGAATTTTCCAGACGGGCAGATGTCTTAAAATGGTCCTGCTATAGAAAGGAAAATCCCTGATAATACATGTATAACACATTTAGCCTAAAAGGTAATGCTTCAGAAATGCTTTTGATTAAAAATTTGAATCACTTACACTTCAGTATTTGATATAGATAAAAAAGAGTTAAAATTTGCTGAATGTGATATGTAATAGCAAGAGCACAAAAACACGAGGTTATCTGATTTGTACGAGGGGGCGTAGCCCCCGAGTATTACTAAGATTACCAAGTGTTTTGGTGTTCTTTCTCTTTTGTATCATAGTCAAACATAAAAACACGTTCCTGTTGTCACAATATGAAACCCCGGCGAAAATGAACCAATGAACGAACATCTGAATATGATATTTCTGTCGCTTTCTCTTTCTCTGCCGTCACAATATGTAAACCCCAGCAAAAATGAGCCAATCAATGGACATGCTCTGGAGTGCGGGTAACTAATACCCGCACTCCAGTTAACGCACTGTGCATGTATATGTATACGATATAACCCTGACACATTTTCAACAGAAAAGTCTCCAAACTATGATACAAATATAAAAATCATCACAAGGGAACTATTTCTAATTCACCAGTGCATGTATTTAGATCTACTAAGAGTACATATTAACCTAATTTAATCAGTATTATGTAGATGCTTAATGTGCTTTTACATTGATCAAGAGTAATCTACGAAAAGCTTCTGCATGACCAGGAAAATAAAGTCTAAGATATTTTGTTGACGAATTGCCTAGAGGCATGCAATGTCTTGACTGAAAGAATGTTATGACAGGAAGCTCAGCAGGGGTCCAGGCTAAAAAAACAAGGCTTTAGTGACTTACATCTATTTTAATCCAGTTTTTGCTAGTATTTTACTCTCAATGTGCCTTTTTTGATAGATCTTTTTAGGCCAGGGTGTCTTGGGGTTTCAGCCCCTTAAGCCCCACCCCGGGCTGCAATATGAATATAATAGTGTCATTAAAAAACTGGCTTTTTTTAAAGAAAAGACCTACTTGACTTGACCTGTTATAGGGAAGGCAGCTTCCCATACAGATTATTCTTTTTTTATTCAAATTAGTCATCCTTAGTAAGAACTGTAAAGATTTCAATAAATTTTTGTGATTAAAATATTTTATTCAAAAATGAGCATAGTTTTCTTTTAACAATCTATTAAACCTTTGATGTCCTTCAAAATTTTTTTAACTGATTGAGCAGAGGTGCATACCATTATAAATATAAGAAAATAAGGTTTAAAGAAAGATTTTAAATTTTTCAGTAAAGAATACTTTTTTCTGATAAAGTTGAGAAAAAAACAACAGATTATATCCAAAAAAAACTTTGAAAGGATTTGAATTATCTCGGATATGATTTCAATCCACAGAAGTCAGAATAATATCAAAGTGCTGCTCTTGTATAAATTAATGGTGGAAATTGAGCCGGCCTTTGTGACAAATCATTTCAATATTGTGTTTTTTTTGTTTTCTTTTACTATTATATAAAGCTGCCTTCTTGATATGATAAACACTTGATTATCAAGCAGTTTTTATTCTAATTCAAGTACACAAAGGAATGATTTTACTTAAAAAAATCTTAATTATTGAGCGGCAATTTTCGTTATATCCATTGTTAACGTGTGTAATTATTGCTTCTAATATTCTGTGATTAAGTAAACCTGCTAAGATAATATAGCCTGTATATGTCAAGCCCCTTAAACTATTGAGGTTATTTTAAACTTTCGTTGATAAGCATTATTGATTAAACTTATATTTAAAACCTTAACCTCAATTCGATCTATTTTTTTCTTATCAAAATATCAAAATAAATTTCTGATTCATCTTGTTCCTTTCTAGTTCATTGTATCCCGTTTGATATAAACCGTCGAGCTTTTAACCAAAGATCGCTTATCATTGTATTAATTAATAATAATTATCATTCTGTAAATTTTGACTGAATAACTATTGGTATATTAGTTATTCTCTTTTATAATATCTCAACATCCATGTTTAAATCACAGATATTAAAAACTTATTAATATTCTAGTCGTTTTAAGTAAATGTGTGTGCTTTTAATCATAGTGTTTCTGGTGTGTTGTAGTCGTAATCTTATCTGTGATTTTTCATGGAAAATCTTATACATACATTTTACGACATGATATTCAATATGGTTAACTGTTATTTGTAATGGCTATATTTATCTTTATGTTATTGTGGTCTATGATGTTTCAAAAAAAAGTAAAAAAAAGCCAAATTATAACATTTATCCGAGGAAAATATATAGTGTTGTTCAACCTACATGATCGACTTTGTCACGCAGGCGATCTATAAAAACAAATCAAGCGCCCGGAAGATCATGAAGAAAATTTACACGACTTACTGCTAAATCTGTCAAATCAGTAAACTCTACATATTTATGCGATTTAAAGTCTTAAACTCACTTAGATATACAAAATGTCGAGTAAACACAGGGACGGAGTATCAATAAATCTTGGATTTGTTCCAGAATTTGATTATAAATCTAGCAGCAGTCAGTCGTGGACAAGGGTATGGACTATGGTGAAAAATACTTTTCTTGAAATTTGGATGTAGTACTGTGTATTGAGACAAATTTATTAATATAAAAAAGGCAAATCCTCAAAGTGAGCTCGATTTACTTTTACCGTGAAATAGTATAAAATTTTTGTTTTACTTTTCCCATTTTAAAACTGTCATTTGGTATTTTTGGAAATCTTGTTCCGGTTAGGTGGTTTCCTGCTTACATTTGTTAGTGCATGGTTGAACGGGAAACCAGCTGCAATCGTGCCAATCGCAACTTTTCGGTCCTTTCCGTCACTCTTCGGATTAATGATAATAGCCGATGTAGTTCCGATTGCAATCGTGACAATTCGGGCGTAGTAATATTACGGAAATCTAAGCTATTTTAGTTACTTCGGTAATCCCAGTTTGTTTATATAAATAGGATTTCTATTTTTACTTGATTCCGTTTCAATTCTTTTTCAAGACGCAAAAGTTAGTTTCTTTTATAATTGTTTTTTTTTCTTTATTAGTTTTATACAATAGAGAATGGTTACTGTAGTAGTATTCCGTCTCCAAAGGGCGGTCCTGCTTATCAAAAGATCGTGACCGAATCACGCATAATATTAGTGCATGATCAAGTTATATTTAGATCTACTGACGTTTAAACGTCTCGGTGAGGTAATCTAAAAATAGCCCATGCATACCATTAACCTTGCCACGTGCTGATCTCCTGTGTTGTCGATCATAGATATTTTAGGTGTAATATAGTTGATACATGTTTATTAATTGGTACCACGTAACAAAGTCTTTTAGTGCATTTACTTGTCTCTAAAGCTGCTATATAAATGAAATTAGCAACTGCCAAAACGAAAAAACCCTACTTATCCCTTTAAAAGTGAAACTTTTTTTTCGAGAAAAAAACAAACTAAATAAGGCCAACATTTTTTTATAAAATGTTTTACGGGACCGCCGACCGTATTTTTAGAGAAAATCAAATAAAAATAAAAGTTCATTTAAGAACTTTTATTTTCATTTTGTCCGCCGACCTCTCTTACCCACTTCTGTCAAAATTAAAAGTTACTCGGTACTTAACTGTAGAATCTTGGTAAAGCAAAGGAACTTGCTTAAAACAAATGACAAGTTAATCCCTTTGATGTTTACAAGAATGTTACAAAAGGCGTAACAAAAGGGAAGGGCAATAACTTAACAAGCTTGTAATAAATTAACCTGTGTGAATATCACGCGACACCGGGTTATGAAAGGTCGCGGGGTCATGAAAGTTCGCTTTCAATACAACTATGGCAATTTGAGGAATAAATATTAGAGCATTTTATCACACATGATAGCCTGCAAAGCTGTTAGAAAGCACGACTGGGAAGTAACATCCATTGCATAAGTTGATTTGAATCATCTACACTTTCAGAACAGTTGTAAAAAATTAAATGGGCACGGGATCAAAGTCGTTGATCGAATAAGGTGTCAGAATGAAATATTTACTCGATTTACCACGGAACATGAGAAAACTTTGAAACATTAAAATTTAGACTAATGTATAGGTTTTTATAAAAAATATAAGGGGAAAATCTGGACTTGCATTTTACTTTGACATATTGAGAAAATTGAGTAATCGAAATTCAACTCGTACGAGTTCTACTTACATTGTAGAATTATAACATTTATTGTTAACTTAGTAAATTGATAATAAAAAATCTTTATTATGAATCTTTGAAAACAATTGATTAATTTATAATACCAAAATAATAAATTCCTGAAAGTTCTTTAGTGGACAGATTTTGTTGTTGTTGTCTTGTTGAAATACAAGGCTTGTTTATAATTGAACACAGTCATCTATAACATTTATTAAGTTTATATTACATCATGACCAGTAGACTAAAGGCAGTAGTTATGTGTTTTTTATTAGATCAATATTGAGAAAATTGGCCTTTTTTTCAATGTAAGATTATGAGCATAAGTCCTCTGTGACATTTCTGTAAACAATTGCCTGTAATAAATTCCCTGCAGAAAACCCTGATTTTGTAACAATGTATGCCATTTGATTTTCTATTTACTGTCAATGACTTTCATTTTACTAATCATTTGAAATATGAATAATTTTCAGAAATTGCAAACTTTTTGCACATACATAACTTACTCTCTTAAAGATAATTTAAAGTTGTTGATTTAATTTACCTTGTGAAACTGACATTGTACAATATTATGTTTGTACCTCTGTGAATGGTTAAGGTTTCTGACCTCAAATCACTCTCCCTGTGTGATGTTGTTGATAAGAATCCTGTCAGGAACTTAATTTGGATTACCATGAGGAAACTATCAGTAAGCTTATAATAGGTTGGTTGTTCTATCACTATAATCAGGTTGCAAGCTTGTGTCAGTATTGTAAAGCTTGAGAGTGGCAATACAACCTTGTTTGGATACTCTTGAAATGAAGGGACTAAATAATGAATTTGGAGTTGTCACTGTGTGGCATGTTTGCCCTAAATGCGAAAAGACAAACTAATACAAATTCTAGATCAGCATTAAATATTTACATAAAACAAAAGCAAAAGTGACTTAAAACATTTTTTTCTATTATTTTGTTAAAAATCATGTCAAAAATATTTCAAAACTATAAAATCATTGATTTTATGGATAAAAAATCTGTTTTTGGAGTGTTAAAAAAATGTTCGAAAAAAAAAAATTTTCACCTCATTTGTCATTTTATTTTTATTTTGTGGTCGACTGATAAAAAAATTGAATTTTATTTTTATTTTTATTTATCCCCCCCGACCCAATTTTTAAAAAAAATATCCCGTAAAACATTTAATAAAAAAATGTTGGCCTAAACATTTTATGATATACAAATACGTAATAAAAAAAAAATTGTGATAATAAATTGAAACCAAAAAAAAAAAACAAATTTAAAGCGAAAGGATGATGGCACAACTGAGCAAGCCTTTCCTTTTAAAAGGAAACTTTATATACACTGCTTCCATTTATTCTGGTTCCCTGTCCTATTATGGTTTCCATATAAGTGAGCAGGACACCGGTCTATGCTTCTGTTTTCAATCAGAATACCTTGGTCCTTATCGTTATCTTGTTATTTGAAAGTTGCGATGTGTCAGTTCAGTACTTCGGACGAAAGTTTTCAAAACCATCACTATCTAGCAGGTACTCGCGTTACCGTAAAGCTCGCTTTGCTGGCAGGCTTTTGAGCTCGCTATTATAATATGTTATTCTTGCGCGATTACTTGTTAAGACTAAAGAAGTTTTTGTTTAGCTTGATAACTTTTTAAGCCTGATTTTACTATTTATTTTTGGCAGTGGCTGGCCTAATGGCCCGTATTGCTAGTCAAATGTTCTAGCCCTGTGTGTGTCACACTTGTATACAGCTAGCCTATATGCACTGTTGAACAGTTCAGACTAGCTATAAGGCATTTTTAAAATAATCGAAAACAATAAAGAATATATATGCAAACTTGTGTTTCTAAATGAAGATTTTAATGAAAACATAATAAAATTAAGTTTTGGCGTTTGATCATCAGATGATCAGAAGTTTGTTTTTTCCTCTGAAAATCACAAATTTTAATAATCAAAGTATTAAAGCGAAAATACTGAGAGAAATAACTGTTCAAACCATAATTAAATCATTTCTATAGACAATATAGATATAATACATTTGTAATATTTTTTTCATCTTGATCACTTTCAGCAAGCATTGAATAAGCACGCTATTAGATCAATATGGGACATTAATTGACTTGACATTAAAGTAACTGTAGATTATGACAAAATATATTTGGTAATAATAACTTGTAAAGAACACAAAAACTACAGAATTAAAGGTGAATTTACATCTGATAGATCTATCCGATATCTTTTCATAATTTAAATTGCTGAATATCATCCTTAAAATTATTAAGACAAAAAATATATTATCATTCTTTGTGAAAATGTAATTTAATATACAGTGCAAGTTACTGACTTGCATAAAATTTATTTGTTATTGAAAAAATGCTGTACCACTGTCCTCAACATTGCATATATATGCTAGACGTACTTGACTCGCATACAGCTGGAACATTGGGCTTGCAGTAGGGGTTGCCACTTCAATTATTTTTAGTGAATGACATATTTTAACAGGAAAATGAAACAATGTTTACTGACAATATGGGACACAGGCTTAATCCTGTAATTGCTGCATCTAATTTTGCATTCAATTTAATCTTGTGGTTCAGTAACAGCAGCGCAAAAGTCATCCGATCGTATGATGCGTGGAGTCACAACTGGCGCAGGGACGTCGCAGTGAGAATCCACCCATAAAAAAAATTTGAAGCATCTGTGGATGAATTGTTAAAGCTGTACTGTACATACCTCATTGTACTCAAATAAAAGTTTTCCATTTGATTAGTTTTTAGCTCGACTTTTTTTTTTTTGAAAAAAAAATAGAGGTATTGCTACAGTCAGGTCGGCGTTGCCGTTGCCGTTGCCGTTGCCGTCCGAAAACTTGTACCTGGATCATAACTTTTTTATTTCTTTGTGTATTGTCTTCATACTTGGCCACAACAACCCTTGGGACAAGACCTTTCAGTAGACCACACTAACCTTGACCTTCATCCATAAATGACCTTGACCTTCAAGGTTAAAAGTCCAATTTTTGCTTGTTCATGCTGTTATTGGCTGTAACTTTGTTATTTTTGAATGGATTGTCTTCAAACTTGAACATAATAATCTTTAAGGATATCCCTTAAAAATAACCAGCCAGACCTTGACCTTCACTCATAAATGACCTTGACTTTGAAGGTCAAATTATTGAAATTTTCATTTTTTTGGCTTTTATTGGGTAAGTTTGTTATTTTTGAATGGATTGTCCTGAAACTTGAACATAATAATCTTCAAAGATTACTGTTAAAGATATACCGGAAGACCTTGACCTTCACACATTAATGACATTGTCTTTGAAGGTCAAATTATTGAAATTTTCATTGTTTTGGCGGTCACTGACTGTAACTTTGCTATTATTGAAGGGATCAACTTCATATTATTAGAGAACATTCTTAAGGACCAGACCTTGTTGTTTATTCAACCCAACTTTGCTTGGGCTCTTAAATGACCTTGACCTTGAAGGTTAAATTACTGAATTTTCTCAGATTTGTGCAGTAAATGACCATATTTAAATATTTATTGGTGTGTGTGTGTCTATATATATATATTTACAACAACAACAACAATAACTAAAATTGTGTCATTGTTTCTATTTATAGAATTGCGTCATTGTTTCTATTTATAGAATTGCGTCATTGTTTCTATTTAGAGAAATTGGGTCATTGTTTTTTTGGGTTTTTTTATAGAAATGCGTCATTGTTTCTATTTTTAGAGATTGCATCATTTTTTCTATTTTTTAGAAATTGCATCATAATTTCTATTTTTAGGAAATTGCATCATTTTTTTTCTATTTTTAGATATTGCGTCATAATTTCTATTTTAGTATTTTTAGAGATTGCATCATTTTTTCTATTTTTAGAAATTGTGTCATAATTTCTATTTTTAGAAATTGCGTCATAATTTCTATTTTTAGAAATTGCGTCATTGGTGCTATTTTTAATATTGCGTCATTTTTTCTATTTTTTAGAAATTGCGTCATAATTTCTATTTTTAGTATTTTTAGAGATTGCATCATTTTTTTCTATTTTTAGAAATTGCGTCATAATTTCTATTTTTAGAAATTGCATCATTGGTGCTATTTGTAGAAACTGTGTCATAATTTCTATTTTTATAAATTGCGTCGTAATTTCTATTTTTAGAAATTGCGTCATTGGTGCTATTTTTAGATATTGCGTCATTTTTTCTATTTTTAGAAATTGCGTCATAATTTCTATTTTTAGTATTTTTAGAGATTGCATCATTTTTGCTATTTTTAGAAATTGCGTCATAATTTCTGTTTTTAGAATTTGCGTCATTGTTGCTATTTTTAGAATTTGCGTCATTGTTGCTATTTTTAGAAAATGCGTCATTGTTTCTAATTTTAGAGATTGTGTCATTTTTTCTATTTTTAGAAATTGCGTCATAATTTCTATTTTTAGAAATTGCGTCATAATTTCTATTTTTAGAAATTGCGTCATTTTTTCTATTTTTAGAAATTGCGTCATAATTTCTATTTTTAGAAATTGCGTCATTGGTGCTATTTTTAGAAATTGCGTCATTTTTTCTATTTTTAGAAATTGCGTCATTGGTGCTATTTTTAGAAATTGCGTCATTTTTTCTATTTTTAGAAATTGCGTCATAATTTCTATTTTTAGAAATTGCGTCATTTTTTCTATTTTTAGAAATTGCGTCATTGGTGCTATTTTTAGAAATTGCGTCATTTTTTAGAAATTGCGTCATAATTTCTATTTTTAGAAATTGCGTCATAATTTCTATTTTTAGAAATTGCGTCATTGGTGCTATTTTTAGAAATTGCGTCATTTTTTCTACTTTTAGAAATTGCGTCATAATTTCTATTTTTTGATATTGCGTCATAATTTCTATTTTAGTATATCTAGAAATTGCGTCATTTTTTTCTTTTTTTAGAAATTGCTTCATTTTTTCTATTTTTAGAAATTGCGTCAATTTTTCTATTTTTAGAAATTGCATCATTGTTGCTATTTTTAGAAATTGCATCACTTTTTTATTTTTAGAAATTATGTCATTTTTTGTATTTTTAGAAATTGCGTCATTTTTTCTATATTGAGAAATTGCGTCATGTTGCTATTTTAAGAAATTGCGTACTGTTGCTATTTTTAGAAATATGCTTAATGTTTCTATTCATATATATACAAAATATATAAAGAAAACTAATGTGACAAGACAGACAAACTAAATTTATAAAAAGGAAACGTTAATATATGTTCAAACCTTTCTATGTTTGCGTTTAGAAAAAGTAAAAAGTCGAGCGTTGCCCCCGCCCGGCGGTGGCTCTTGTTATTATTTTATGGTGTTCAATTTTGAATAAAGTTCTGTTTTCTATTGTGATATTTTCCTAATTCATAAGGCTAAAGGGTGCAGTGTTTTTTTCTCTAATTTGGGAGTGATGCCAGTTTCAGACTAATTGGGAAAAATTATGTGTTATTTTGACTAAAATCAGGAACTTTTATTATGCGTTTTTTCAGCTACAAATAAAATAAGTCATTATAAATAAAGACAGCTAACAGCTTCCACTAACCAGGTAGAACTAGTGATTTATATAAACCTGTTGGATTTTAAATGATTTCAGTGACCTCTGTAGGAATTTTGAAAAGTCATTTGGGGGAACTTAGACATTGGAAATTGGGAAGTTTAATGTCTTTTATTCCGTTAGAAACAGTACCTTTTTCGGGTAGTAGTTATATAGAGAAAAAAACACTGGGATGGTGAAATAGGCAAAAATTTAACCAAAGCGAAAATATCCCAATGGACGGTATATGATTTATTATGAATAGCTGTTGTAAATCATAAGATATTGTTATACATTTATGTTTTCCTGTTGTATATTTCAGTCATGGAGAAGATTATCCAGCCTACAGAGAACCATCATTGTTCTATTTGTATGTATAGTGGCACTTTGCTTTTTCTACTTCCATCCAACCTTCCAATCTAATGGTAGCAAATCAGCAAAGATGGTTCCCATTAATGTGCCGGGAGATAATCCTGTGAACAATCTACCGCATGATTCTGTCAGAGAAATGGAGATTGAGAAAGCGCACAAACTGGAGGAGCTTAAAGAGAAGGCTCAGAAACAGTTAGAAAACATGATGGTAAAAATCTGAAAATATATTTTATCGTATTCTGGTACATACCGGACAAGGCGCTTGAATGATTTAATGCTAATATTTCGCCTTTTCACCTTACGGAATGAACTTTAAAACGTCTAATTCATCTTTTCTCAACGATTTTTATACGATAATTTATGAAAAATGTAATAATCGGCGGAAAAAAAACCATATTTGTCTATTTTGCGATCATGATTTCTGCAAGCGTCTAGAGGTACTGCTCCAATCCTGTATTGAGTTAAATCCTTATCTCAGTTTGTTGTGCTGTTTTAACCCCTACCACTTTAAACAGACTTGTCCGTCTTTCAATTGAGACATTTACCATTTATCTCTTTAAGAGAATACATGTATTTCAAAATATGAACTCATTCGAGAACACAATTGTGCAGACCTTGATCAGATGACATTTGGTGATCTTGGTCTGCACTTGCTACATGGGTACATTCTGTTGATTCTGCCAGCAGGCCAAGTGTTTATGGGCATAAGGCTGTATGAGGTTGGTAGTATTTAGTATTTGTTATTATCTTCATAAAATTAATACCAAAGGAATGGTCTTCCTTCTCTCCAGTGTTAATGCTACTTAATACCCAACCTACAATAAAAAAAATCACTTTTATCCCAGATACTGCTTTTATATTGATTGGCAATCCTAGGTTCTCGGTCATATATTCAATGCTTCACAAATTGTATTATGGTGATTTTTCTTGTCTGTAGAAACAACATGGTGTCAAAGATGATGTCGATGAAGATAAAGTAGCTGATGAGAAAAACAAAGTTGAAGAAAACAATTTTGAAAATACTAATAAAGAAAAGGAAAAAGATGTGGTATGATTTCTTTTTTTGTGTATTTTTAGCTCACCTGTCACAAAGTGACAGGGTGAGCTTTTGTGATCGCTTTTCGTCCGGCGTCCGTCCGGCGTCTGTCCGTCCATCGTCCGTCCGTCCGTAAACTTTTGCTTTAAATGACATCTCCTCTTAAACCACTGAGCCAATTTCATCCAAACTTCACAGGAATGTTCCTTTGGTGGTCACCTTTAAAAATTGTTCAAGGAATTTAATTCCATGCAGAACTCTGGTTGCCATGGCAACCGAAAGAAAAAATCTTTAAATATCTTCTTTTAAACAACCCTAAGAGCTAGCGCTTAGATATTTGGCATGAAACATCTTCTAGTGAGTGTCTACCAAGTTTGTTCAAATAAAAGCCCTGGGGTCAAAATTGGCCCCGCCCCAGGGGGTCATTGATTTTCCCTATATGCATATAGTAAAAACTTAAAAAATCTTCTTTTAAAGAACCCAAAGAGCTAGAGCTAAGATAATTGGCATGAAACATCTTCTAGTGAGTGTCTACCAAGTTTGTTCAAATAAAAGCCCTGAGGTCAAAATTGGCCCCGCCCCAGGGGTCATAGATTTTCCCTATAACCATAATAGTAAAAACTTAAAAAATCTTCTTTTAAAGAACCTAAAGAGCTAGAGCTAAGATATTTGGCATTAAACATCTTCTAGTGAGTGTCTACCGAGTTTGTTCAAATAAAAGCCCTGGGGTCAAAATTGGCCCTGCCCCAGGGGGTCATTGATTTTCCCTATATGCATATAGTAAAAACTTTAAAAAAACTTCTTTTAAAGAACCCAAAGAGCTAGAGCTAAGATATTTAGCATGAAGCATGTTCTAATGGGTGTCTACCAAATTTGTTCAAATAAAAGCCCTGGGGTCAAAATTGGCCCCGCCCCGGGGGTCATTGATTTTCCTTATATGTGTATGGCAAAAACTTAAAAATCTTTTTTGAAAAAACCCATATAGCTAGAGTTTAGATATTAAGCATGAAACATCTTCTAATCAGTGTCTACAAAGTTTGTTCAAATAAAAGCCCCGGGGTCAAAATTGGCCCTGCCCCGGGGGTCATTGATTTTCCTTTTTTGTGTATAGCAAAAACTTAAAATTCTTCTTTGAAAAAACCCATATAGCTAGAGTTTAGATATTAAGCATGAAACATCTTTTAGTAAATTTCTACAAAGTTTGTTCAAATAAAAGCTCGGGGGTCAAAACTGGCCCTGCCCCAGGGGTGTCATTGTTTTTAACTATATGTGTATAGTAAAAACTTAAAACATCTTCTTTTAAAAAACCCAATGAGCTAGAACTTAGATGTTTAGCATGAAACATCTTCTTATGGGTGTCTACCAAGTCTGTTCAAATAAACAAATAAAAGCCCTTGGGTAAAAATTGGCCAGGGGGGGGGGGGGGGGGCTATATACAGGTGAGCGACCTCAGGGCCATCATGGCCCTCTTGTTTGTGTGTATTTTTACAGGTTGTCCATAGAATGTTTGATGGTCTTTCAAGTAATTTTATCATGTAGTTAAGTTAGATACATTGTATTATTCCTATGTCTCACTCTGACACGGGTAGGTCATGAGTCTGAAAGATTACTGTCATAAAGTTCCACCTATACCCTTTTGTTTGCTTTTAAGAGAATCTAAACTTTTGTACTTTACTGCTGATTTGTTTTTATCTTCAAAGATAGGGGTGTCTTTTAAGATCGTTGACTTCACACCAATTGCCCCTCATCACTGTTTGTTTGAATCCCAATGTTTCATGCTAGCTTACGGTATGTCAGTGGTGCTTTTTAGGTGCCTGTTGTGCCTGAAATAATGCATGGAAATGCACCTAAGGTTTTCCTCCACCAGTAAAGGTAGAAAGTCGCCATATGACATATACATGTACTGTGTTGTAGGGAGGTAAAACTTGGCCAAAAAAATTTTTTTTGATGAAAAGACTGTGAATGTTTTGGAGCCAAATCTTCGGAAGGATATTGAGTTATTGATGTGTGCAAGCTACATTGTATCTAGTTATTAGCTGAATGTGCAAATAATTATTAACAATGTAAGATGTAAAGGCAGAGCTTTATGATACTCAATCATTTTTTTCCAATATTTCTCTTCTAGGAGAAGAAAGTTGATATGGAGGGTGTTAAACCAGAGTTAGAATATGACTTCTTTGATGGTAAGTAGAACAACTTTAATTAGACATTTATTTTTTCTTGGCATGCAATTCATGTCCCTATGTTAGCTAAATGCACCATAGTGAGAAAAAATACATGAAGCCTTTCTTAAGAAACATTGATGGCTTTTAAGCCTGAACCTGTTGGCGGTAATAGATTTTTTTTTATGTAGCAATTAATTTTGTTGATGTATATGTACACTGAGAAACTTTTTCATAGGAGCATAATTATAGTCTACAGATTGATTCCTAGGGCTCTGTCATTTTCATTCGTTTGGCAAATATCTTTGTCACAATGTGTATTGGTACCTTCTGTAAACCACCACCATTTGATTGTCAAGGTACCCAATGTCAAGGTTACTGCGACAAAATTTTTTTTATACTTACCCTGTTTTTTGGCTTTGTCAGAAAAATGGAATGGATCATTTATTCACCAATATTCTTGTTGAAAATGCACTTAGTAATTTTGATGGGCAGTTGAGGTCAGCTCATACAATTTGCTTGTTATTATTTGATTTTAATGACTGTTATATTTCCAGCCAACAGGAAACACAATGATCGACAGAAAGCTGTCATTGAAGCATTCAAGGAGTGCTGGTCGGCATATAAGAAGTACGCCTGGGGTCATGACGAATTTCATCCCGTGTCAAAGAAACATTCAGAGTGGTTTGGGGTGGGACTGACAATTGTAGATAACATTGATACCACAATCATCATGGGATTAGAGGAAGGTATAAAATCATTATGAAGAAGATAATTCCTCACCTCAGTGCAGTAACAGGCTAACTTTAGTAGAGGTTAAATTTAGTAGGAGTTAATTTGTTATTGCACTAAGGTGGCAAATTGTTTTCAGAGAATATGCTTTTACTCGTATGAGAGAATTTTCAAATATTTACAAAATCACAAAAAAATATGAGTGAAAATAAAGAAAAATATTTCTTATTTCAAAGTGAAGTATAGCCCAAAGTCCCTAGGAGGAAATATGTTTTACAGTTAGTTTTCATGTACATGACATTCTACAGTTTTTCATTTGAACTCGAAAAGGATTTGGTTGACAATAAAAATTGTTTTGGCGGATTTTTTATGCTCCCCGAAAAATTTCGGGGGAGCATATAGTCGGCGCCTTGTCCGTCTGTCCGTCCGTCAGTCCGTCCCTCCGTCCGTCCGTCTGTCCGTCCGTTGTCTTGTCCGGAGCATAACTTGAAAACCCATGGAGATAATTTGTTGAAACTTCATACACTGGTAGAGGGCATTGAGGGGGAGTGCAGTGTCAAAGAACCATAACTCTATTTTGCTCGGTTTTTGAATTATCTCCCCTTATAGAAAAATCTTGTCCGGGGCATAACTCTAAAACTATAAGAGATATCAACATGAAACTTTGTAGGTGAATAGATCTCAATGGGTTGATGTGCAGTGCATAAGAACAATAACTCTTTTTGTCCTAATTTTGGAGTTATTGCCCTTTGTTAATTTTAACACTTTGAACTTTGTCCGGAACATAACTCTAAAATTATAAGAGATATCAAGATGAAACATTGTAGGTAGATAGATCTCATTGAGTAGAGGTGCAGTGCAAAAGAACCATAACTCTGTTAAGCCTCATTTTTGAATTATCTCCCCTTATAGAAAAATCTTGTCCGGGGCATAACTCTAAAACTATAAGAGATATCAACATGAAACTTTGTAGGTGAATAGATCTCAATGGGTAGATGTGTAGTGCATAAGAACAATAACTCTTTTTGTCCTAGTTTTGGAGTTATTGCCCTTTGTTAATTTTAACACTTTGAACTTTGTCCGGAACATAACTCTAAAACTATAAGAGATATCAAGATGAAATATTGTAGGTAGATAGATCTCATTGAGTAGAGGTGCAGTGCAAAAGAACCATAACTCTGTTAAGCCTCATTTTTTAATAATCTCCCCTTTTAGAAAAATCTTGTCCAGGACATAGCTGTAAAACTATAAGAGATATCAACATGAAACTTTGTAGGTGAATATATCTCAATGGGTAGATGTGCAGTGCACAAGAATCATAACTCTGCCTTGCCTAATTCTGGAGTTATTGCCCTTTGTTTATTTTTACTTTTTGTCCGGGACATAACTCAGAAATCATAAGAGATATCATCAAGAAACTTTGTAGGTTGATAGATCACATTGATTAGAAGTGCAGTGCAAAGAACAGTAACTCTGCCTTGCCTAATTTTGGACTTTAAACTTTTTCCAGGGACATAACTCTAAAACTTCATGAGGTGTACTTTCCTGTGTCCAAAACCTATTCGGGGAGCATCACCCGGCTCAAACCGGGCTCTTGTTTGTTTAGGTTGCTAGAAAGGATATAGAACAATATTTTATTGTAGTCCTGACTACAGAATGTTATGGTATCAAGAAAGTTGACTTATTTAGTAACATTTCAAACTTACCTTTAATCATTATATATAAATTTCTATGTTGTATATTATACATGTGCCTCTGATACCAGCATTTTCACTGGAGCTCTGGTCTTTAAAACTTCTGTTTAAATATTCACAAATAAAATGGATATAACAGCTAGAATCTTGTTATCATCCATACAACATAACACAGAATACACTGTTTTTTTGTGATTACAGAATATGAGGAGGCGAGAGAGTTCGCGACGAATGGTTTATCCTTTGATAAAGACAAAGATGTGAACTTGTTCGAGATTACGATCCGTGTTCTAGGAGGGTTACTGAGTGCATATCATCTCACAGGAGATGAACTCTTTAAAACCAGAGCGGTAAATATTTATACATGTATATTCTCCATGTTCTATTTTTTTCTATACAATCGAAAAAGTACCTATGTTTATTTGCAATTGGTTAATTATTGTCCCGTCACACAGTTATGAATGTTAAATGACAATGGTATATAGATGGTATTTAAATTTTTAATTTTCTTTGAGACTGTTTTAAGAGACTCCCTGTCATATGTCACCTTTTTCTGAGGGTCCCTTGGAAAGTCACATATGACACACTACATTATAAAAAAAAACTGGTTGTTTCGTTTACCTTTATTCTATGTTTTACAGAAAGATTTAGGCGACAGGCTCTTACCATGTTTTAACTCGCCATCGCGTGTTCCCTACTCTGACGTGAACCTCCGTTCAGGCAACGCCCATGCACCAAGATGGGGTCCCGACAGTAGTACATCAGAGGTCACTACGATACAGATAGAGTTCCGAGATTTATCAAGGATTACTGGTGACCCAAAATACAAGGTTCTATTCTATTGTTGTTGTTTTTTCGATAAACTTCAATATTGTCAGTTCATTGTTTTCATTTTTTACTATAGAGTTTTTAAAAAAATATTTGAAGTTTTTGTGCCCCCACTTTAGTGGCGGGCATTTAGATTTACCCTTGTTGTTATATTTTTTAACTGATTTGTATGCTATGTTGAACATTTTTTTTTAGATGCCATTTTATCCATCTTAATTCAAACTCAAAACAGTGCGAATTTACATAAATATACTCCTCAATGATATAGTTAATATTGCACTCGTAAATCATACTATAAATTTGATAATGCATGACAAGAAGCTGTAGATTCATACTATAACTTTGATATTGCATTACAGGAAGCTGTAGATTCATACTATAAATTTGATATTGCATGACAGGAAGCTGTTGATTCATACTATAAATTTGATATTGCATGACAGGAAGCTGTAGATTCATACTATAAATTTGATATTGCATCACAGGAAGCTGTAGATTGATACTATAAATTTGATATTGCATCACAGGAAGCTGTAGATTCATACTATAAATTTGTTATTGCATCACAGGAAGCTGTAGATTCATACTATGAATTTGATATTGTATACAGGAAGTTATAGATTGATACTATAAATTTGATATTGCATCACAGGAAGCTGTAGATTGATACTATAATTTGTTATTGCATCACAGGAAGCTGTAGATTCATACTATAAATATGTTATTGCATCACAGGAAGCTGTAGATTCATACAATATATTTGATATTGCCTTACAGGAAGCTGTAGATGAGGTATATACGCATGTACATGACGAGCCAAAGAAGGATGGTCTTGTTCCGATCTTTATAAATGCACAAAGTGGCAAGTTACGTAACTCTGGAACTATCAGTTTCGGTGCTAGAGGGGATAGCTATTATGAATACCTGCTGAAGCAGTGGTTACAGACTGGAAAAACGGAGATGAAGTATGTATTAGTTTCACTGTAAACAATGGTGTTTTTTATGCCCCTACTCTAGGCAAGGCAGGGTAGGGGGAGAGGATGTAGCCGTATAGATTTGCCTGTGTCTGTCCATCACTTTGCCCGTCAGTAGACTGACAAATCGGAGGCATAAGGGGGAATCACTACCATGATCATTACCATGCGTGTCTAGCTTTCCAGTATTTTGAGATTGTGACCCATGTCCTCGAATTTGAAAACTGGTGTTGCTTTTTGTTAACATGAAGGGTTTTAGTTAACTGAGATTAGTTGGTTAGATTGAAAAAATATTGGAATACTTATTGTGGTAGATTAGTTCCTAGTATGGAAGCATTGCCTTTTTCTGAAAATCAAAAAAGGTTCTTATATTTTATTGTAAGAACTAGCATATAAATTATTGGTTTAATTTTGGATTTTTTGTCCAAGGAATGGGGTAAAAAGATATATAGTGTAATGGAGAAACATTTTTTCTTTTTTCAGTTAGTATTATATAAGAGATGAATAAAATCATGATAGTGATTTTAATATGTAATTTATTTACAGGTACAAAAATGATTACTTAGAAGCTGTCCAGGGAATGAAAACGCATCTTGTTAGAAAATCAGAGCCCTCAAAGTTAACTTATATTGGTGAACTATTGAGTGGAAGAAATTTTAGTCCTAAAATGGTACGTAGAGAAACTTTGACATATAAAAATTTAGTTATAGTATTGGTATTCTCACTAAAGTTTCTGAACTTGAACAAGATCGATGCAAACCAACAAGTTAGCATGATGAGAGATTGCCTAGTGGTTAAAGACTTTGTCTCTCATCCCAGGAATCATAAGTTTGAGGCCTACTAGGGTTATGACCATATTTCCTCATGATCTACTAGATTTAGGACCATATTTCCTCACAAAAGGGTACTGGTTTATTCTGGATGAATACACACGGGTGGTTAAAATATGCTTGAAGACTTCCTGGCAATATAGCTTTTGATAGATATTGTCTAAACTAGACAGACCAGTTCATATAATATCTACTAATATCAGTTTGTTTCGCTTATTCTAAGAATTTGTTTTGCTTACTTATTATTTGCTTTACCTGAGGAAAGTTAGGTGCCAACTTGTGATTGAAACAATTCACAAAGAGGTGCCTGAGGTCTTCCTCAACTGGTAAAGGTTGAATTTAGCCACATGACTTTTAGAGTGTCAGAATGACTTAAAACCAAACCTATCAAAGTTGGTAAAGTGAAAGTGGTTTTTTTTTTTTCATATGAACCAGGATCATCTAGTATGTTTTATGGGTGGTACACTGGCGCTGGGATACAAGAACGGTCTACCTGAAGATCATCTAGAGCTGGGAAAGGAGTTAACACACACCTGTTATCAGATGTACGCCAAAATGCCGACACATCTTAGTCCAGAGATTGTGTACTTCAATCAAGCTGAAGGTGCCCCAGATGATTTAATTGTAAAGGTAAACTCTTTAAAATGCTGTTTAATCATTTAATTTTCCTAGCATATATTTTTTTTGAACAAGTAGTTATTTTATGTGGTCTATAATTCAGGTGTTACTGATTTAAAAAAATGAGTTGTTTTAATTTGTTATAAATACAGTCTCCATTTCCAATGACCAATGTTTTTAGCTCGACTTTTCTATGAAAAGGGGAGCTATCCTACTCGCCCCGGCGTCGGCGTCGGCGTTGGCGTCACACCTTGGTTAAGTTTTTCGTACCACCCCACTTTATTTCAGAAGTATTACAAGTATGGCTTTGAAACTTACCATACTTGTTCACCATCATAACCTCCATCTACAGACAAGAGTACATAACTCTGTCAAGGTTTTTGACAGAATTATGGCCCTTTTTTGACTTAGAAAGTGTATTGAGCTTGGTTAAGTTTTTTGTACCACCTCACTTTATTTCAAAACCATTGGAGGTATTGCTTTGAAACTGACCATACTTGTTTACCATCACGACCTTCATCAACAGACAAGAGGACATAACTCTGTCAAGGTTTTTTGACAGAATTATGCCCCTTTTGACTTAGAAAATACATTGAATATGGGTAAAATCCACTTATTGCCTTAACCCTTTGAGATATTGCTTTGAAACTTTTAATGCTATTTCACATCATTACCCCCATCTGTACGCAAGAGAAGGTAACTCTGTCAAGGATTTGTTTTAAAAATTAAGGCCTTTTATCGACTTACAATCTTGGTTAAGTTTTTAGTACCAGTCCACTTTTTGACTGAACTGTTTGAGATATTAATTTGAAAGTTGGAATACTTGTTTACAATCATGATTCCCAAGGTGTTCTGAGTGACGTAAAAATACCTTATTCTCTCAAAGTGGGTTTAATACTATTAAATTTATTTAAGGCTCAACTCAGTTTTTTTTTCTTTCTTACCAGCCCTCTTTTGACTTAAACATTTCAAACTTTGCTGCAGTGTTCAAGGGTATCACACAATTCAGTAAAATAATTCTTCACTAAATATCTTAATGCTCATGGCCATTGTTCACTTTAAAAATACAGAGATTCTTGTATTGCCTTTTACTGCAAAAACTTTTTTTATTGGCAAGCAATAAAAAAGTCGAGCGCGCTGTCTTATGGACAGCTCTTGTTTGATCTCTTGCTTGTAACTCTTGTACATTCAAGTCACACCGGTGATATTGAAGTTTATTGTGTATGAAGATATGTAGCCTGTTTTTGTTCTACCCACAGCTTGCATGGTCCTGAAATAATGCAGATTGTCACTTAACGTCTCCTTCCCAAAAGTAAGGTGCAAAAACTTCCCAGTTGACCTTAACTGAGTCAAGTCTAGAAGTGTCTGATTGACTTAAAATCAAACCAGCAGGCAGTCACACTGTCTGAAAACCATGGGGGAAGATGATAAAGGCAAATATGAAAGTCCTGTAAAGATATGAAATTTACAAAATATTTAATTTGACAGGCCAAAAAATCGTGTTAATAAATTTCTGTGAAAGCTTGTTTAGACAGAATCATGGAATAAGCTTGCTAATCAATTTTTGGGGCAATGTGTGTTATATGTAATACATTATTTGTATTATTATCATTTGAGAAATTGCATGTATTATATTTTGTTGGTTATATTAGAAGCAGTCTGCCCGCTCAATCTCTTTAAAATCATATGCTAACTGGAGCGATATGCTAACTGTCGCTCCACTACCCTTTGCTAGGTAGGCTTCGTAGCGAAGAATTACGGAGCTGACACATCAATCTAATTTTAATGAGATTGTCTGTTGGCTTAGCTCGCAGGTAAGATCCTTCCGGGAGAGGTGAAATTTCTTGATGACAGTTGATATCAAACGTTTGGTATAATGGTCATTTGTCTCTTGATGCTGATTCAGAAATCAGGTGGGATTAGTAAGTCTGTCACTAGTAGAGAAATTGGTAATTTTCGGTAATTTATCTTGGAAAGCGTAGAAAAACGTTAGATCGACTACCTAGATCAGACTCAATAATGTGTTAAAATTGGCTTTAAAACCAGAGAAACAGACAAACGATATTATAAGAATCCTTTAAAAGTATTGGGTTTTTATATCACAAATTTGAGATTTTTTGTTTTCATTATTTTACAGCCGTTAGATGCGCACAATCTGTTGAGACCAGAGACGGTGGAGAGTTTGTTTTATCTGTACAGAATCACAAAGGACGAGAAATATAGGGACTGGGGATGGAAGATATTTTTAGCCTTCAAGAAACACGCTAGAATCGAGGGGCTCGGTTATTCCTCCATCAATAATGTAAAAAATGCGGGAAATCCAAGTTTTAGAGACAAGCTAGAAAGTTTTTTCCTCGCGGAAACATTGAAATATTTATATTTGTTATTTAGCGACGATGCGGATTTATTACCGTTAGATCAATATGTATTTAATACTGAAGGGCATCCGCTACCTATATATAAGTCAGCGTAGTGAATTGCTTGGAGAAAATTAGACTGTGATATTAATTATATTGTAGTTCATCTGTAGTAACTACCATCATCTGAACAAGGCATTATAGTATATAGAATCTGATACAAGGCCAAGTCGTCGTCAAATTGGTTAAATGAGCTGCGTCATGACAAAACCAACAAAGTGTGCTTACAAACCCTTTTACAAGTAGAGAAATTAATAGCAAACATCATGGATCTTAATCAGACTGCGTGGATGCGCAGGCTGGTCTGGATCCGTGCTGGTTGCAAAAGCACTATGTTGGCTTTGTCATGACGCGGCTCAAATGTTTATGTAGATGTTATCCAAGTTATCTAAAAGCTATGTTCACACGAAGACAATATTATTTTTTCCTGTCTCTCGTGCTGTCAATATGTAAATTATAGTATGGAAATAACCTGTTGTCAAACAACAACTGAATTAATTTGTCACCTTAGTGCAATAACTGGTTAACCACTATTAAATTTAGAAGGACTTAACCTGTTACTGCACTAAGGTGACTCGATGCTTTTTACTTTTACCTGAAATTTTAAGATAAATTGCCATAGGGATTGTTAAGAATGAAAGAAATATACTGTTCGGGAATGATTTCAAATAATGAAAAAACTATTTCCTAATCTCCACACCTGTTTACAATAGATGAAATTTTTCCATGTTTAATCATATGACAACAAGGTCAAAGGTTATAAAGAAATTTTCTCAGTTCAAATATAAGATCTTGGGAATTTGATTGGTCAGAAACTTGACAGAATGTTCACTGGCTGATGAAAAACCTGAGATTTTAGAGAAAGCTTTAAAAAAAAAAAGTTTTATACCCACTAGGCCAGTACCAGTTAGTTTCAGGAGACTAAATCAAAAGTAGATCAGTTGCAAGGAACTTGTTTTACAACTGAGCTTAGTTATATTTAAACTAACCAAATATTTAAAATTTGTCATCAAAATACCAGCTTTTAAAGCCACATTTTTTTTTTAAACTAAAAAAAAAGTGAGTAGTTTTAAGTAGTAGAATACCGTTGTTTACGGTTTGAGAAAAGTGATCATAAGGTGCTCAAATAGGGAACTTATGTGGCATAGTTTTGCCATGTACAATTTCTCTTTTTTTTTGCTGCATGGCAGGTTGAAGAAGATGAAAGCCTAGAACAGGAAAATTCAAGGACATTGTACGAAACTGTTTGCAGTGTTTTTATAGCTCTATAGTGTTTATTTTGTCGAGACAAAATTGTTTTGAAAACAATGTCAGTCACTTTAATCTGCTATGTTCGCAGCCTTTCACTCTGTAAAGGCCAAGTAACAAGACATATGGCAAATATAAAAGTGTAATTACAATACTTAAAAGTTTTGTTTTTGTTCACCTTACATTCATTGTGACTGTCGCTTTGCCAGAGCTTAGTGACTTGTAAAAAAAAACAGGATAAAAATCACTGTTTGTTGCAATTTCATCTTTTACGTCATTTTATACCAGCACACAAAAACATAGTACATTTGAGCCAGGTCATGACATAACCAACATAATGGGTTTGCGACCAACATGGATCCAGACCAGCCTGCGCATCAGCGCAGTCAGATCAGGATCCATGCTGTTCGCTTACAAACCCTATTACAAGTAGAGAAACTGATAGCGAACAGCATGGATCCTGATCAGTCTGCGCAGAGGCACAGGCTGGTCTGGATCCATGCTGGTCGCAAACCCACTATGTTGGTTTTGTCATGACACGGCTCCTTTTTATCAGTCATCCACCGTAAGGAACCTTAGTTACATAAAGTGCTTGTTGTTAAGTTACGTTCTATAATCATGTATATAGTCAAATTGTTATACTTTGTCTTCATTGAAATATATTCCTATGACATCATTTTGCATCAGCATCGAGTACAGATAGACGTGTTAGTATTAATGTTGACCCAGTTGATAATAATATGAGCCGCGTCACGACAAAACCAACATAGTGTGTTTGCGACCAGCATGGATCCAGACCAGCCTGCGCATCCACGCAGTCTGATCGGGATCCATGCTGTTCGCATCAGTTTCTCTACTTGCAATAGGGTTGGTAAGCGAACAGCATGGATCCTGATCAGACTGCGTCGCAAACGCACTATGTTGGTTTTGTCGTGACGCGGCTCATATTGTGTTTAAAAGGCTTGCATTTTTAATTTGATTTTTGACATTTATCATGTCTTCACTCCAGGATACAGATGACAACATGTGTGGTTGGTATTATTGTCTGTCATAGACTAGTTTAGAGAAGAGAGAGAGAAAGAAAGAAAAATTGCCATTTTTAGAATTTATCTGTTTATTGCATTGATATAGATATATATGTATGTATTAAATTATGTTTATATTTTTATGACGAGTATTATTTTGTGATGAATATTTTTGCTATATTGTATTTAAGAGAATATTTGGTGTACATATCCATTATTGTTAGAGACATGCATTACTTGTTAGGATGATCTTTAAGCAGCACATTTTCAGATTTTTATACAAATCTTCATGAATTTTAAGAGACGTCCATGGCCGAGTGAGTGGTTTAGGGTGTTTACTTCAAATCACTTGCCCCTCACCACTGTGGGTTCAAATCGCGCCAGGAACAATGGGATTCTTTCATGTGAAGAAGCATTTCAGCTAATTTATGGACAGTTAATGGTTCTACCTAGGTCCTGGCCCACTTATGAAGTCCTCCTTCATCAGCAAAGCTTGAAAATTGCCTTTTATTGTTTTTAAAAATCAATCATAAAAAAGTGTTTTAATAATAAAAATAATGTTAAGAAATATATTACTAAAGTAACTTAAGTTGGCATAAGATGATAACAGTGTATATAATTAATTATAATTAATACTATTAGTTGGCAAGTGCTAATCTGTTTCAGTTCAGTAAGGTTAAACCATAATTATCAAAAATTGACAAACATACTTATAACTAAAGACATGTAATTTTTTTTTAAGATTGTAATTTTCAGATGTAACTCTCATTTTTTGTGTACACGCATTTGTGTTTTTATATATAGTAAATAGACATGTTTAAACATTACTGTTTTAAATGGCCTAAAACTATTAATGATGAAATAACTGTAACAAATTTCAAAAACTCTCCGGTCAAGTTCTTTTCATATTATTATAGTCATGTTTGGGGAGAGTATTTTGCAAGATATATCTCTGGTTATTTAAGTTACATTATTTATGTAACAACTTAAACAGAACAGCTATTTCAGAAGGTCGATGGTTTAAGGGAGAGTTATTGTTCCGAGCAACCCTTGTCCTATTTGCGCATTGTTGTTTTTTGTGTCCAATTTGGTTTCTTCATAAGCACTGTTATTTTGGGTATTCATTGGTTTCTTCGTAAGCACAAAAAAATATAACAGGTCAAAAAATGTAAACAAACAGCTAATTCATATGATCTCTGAAGTTTTTCTGAATCAAACAAACTCTTTACTTATCATAGATAAGGTAGTTATTTTAGATTATAACTTGTGTAGATTTTTAGGCTTAGCACATTTTAGTACGGTAGATTCAACTGTTCATGAGATTTTGTAACCATAGAGTTTCTAATATTATTGTTTTTTTATCACAGTATTTTGCATAATACCTTGAATGAGATGAATTTTTTGGGTCCAGTCTAGTTTGTTTTCAACCTGTTTGCTGCCTCTACAACATTGTTGACTGGTTCCCTCGTATAACTGTATTTTTTTAAGACTGGTTCACCTGTGTCATTAGAATATGATCATGACTGGTTATTAATTTTACAGATTTTTTTTTTTAAGGAGATTTTTTTGTAAGGAGATGGGGGGACAGATGATCTTTATTGTGATTTTGGTTATGAGTTTGGACATAAGAAAAAAATCATTTTTATCTGAACTTTGTTCATTTTCTTCTGTATGTGTGTTTGAGTATGTTTACCCTCGCCACTGGAAAGAAACCATATGGGCGAGCATCATTTTCTTATATTTAAGTGTATATTTTTATATATTCTACATACATGTACCTGAACTTAAAATCTAAGCATCCATGTTCTTAAGTACATTTCTGTAATTCTTAGGAATATACAAAGGAAGTATCCTAGTATACATCTCTTGCAAGGTAATGGTATATTTCAATCTTAAAGGGACTCCACTGAGGTCTTCTGACATGATGGGACTCCAAATATTTTTTCAAGATAAATATTCCATTTGATGTAGGTCTAGACCAATAACTTTTAAGTAAAGTTTCAGATCATTTGCTTACTCTGTTTATTCAGAATAATTATTCTAATTGAGAAAAATGACCCAAATTTGAAAAGCATTGCAATGCTTTTCACTCAATTTAGGCTAAGAATAGTACAAAAATATGATTTTCAATTCATTTCTTAGTATATATCTTAATTATCGTTTGCTAATCATTTTTGTTTTAAATGCCCAAGCTGATCTAAACAAGATTTGTAATTTGAGTGACTTTTTTGCGGGGGGTGGGGGTGGCTTTTTTCCTCAATGGAGTTCCTTTGAAAAACACTTGTTTCCACATTTTTTTTAATGCACCCACTCAACCCCTCCACCACCACAAAAATGTTATTTTACCATATCTATGGTTGTAGACTTTTGTGTTAATATTATGTTTAAGCCAGCATTATTTTTCTTTCTTATGTAGACAACATCAACAAATACTTTTTTATAAAACCATTCAACTGTTAGGATGTGTTTTGTGCAATACATGTATTTATGTTTCTCAGACTGTTACATTGTAAAAGTAATGACATTTTCTAGTCTTGGGTTTCATACATTGGGCATGTTCACTAACTTGACAGCTTTATCCCTGTTCATCGGGTTGCTGCAATCCATGTTTTGAAGGCTTTGTAATTTGACAGCTTTATCCCTGGTCAATAGACTGCTCCAATCATGTTTTGACTTCCTTGGAGAGTATTTTAATTATGCTTATGGTAGCCAATGGTATGTTATAGTCACTTGGAATTATTCTGCCCTCTCAGGTACCCACATACATAAATGAAAGATGTTGATATTGAAAGATGTTTATTTTCCCCTTACCATTGTCTTGATTTAACTGCAAGATTATATACAGTTCCAACACTTAGTATCAGGGTTTTTTCTTGCCTACAAGACAGTTTTCTGGTCCTACTCAAAGTTACATTTATTTACCCTACAAAACAGTAAACAGTAAACCCATCTAAGTCAATGTAACATTTATTTGCCTTAAAAGATGGGTATACCATTCCATATCATAGTATCATATTGTTTTGCATCATATTATTAAAGGGGGGATTTACCCGTCCCATTGACTGTTACCATTTATTTGCCTTATAAGGTAAACCTGTCCAGCTGATAGTTCAACATCTACTTATCCACTATCCAACTCACTGTACCATCTTTTTGAGCTACAAGACCGTATACCCCTTCATCTCATAGTACCATTTATTTGCCCTATAAGATGGGGTCATCTTGTAGTATCCTTTGTACTTATTTGCCTATGAGGGTTTTACCCATCAGACTCCCTGTACAAATCATTTGCCTTAAGGACAGGTATGTTCATCCCTTTCATAGTATAACTTACTTGGGATATTTAACTCACTACAGTGTTGGAGCAGTACCTACAGACGCTTGCAGAAATCATGATCACAAAATAGAAAAATATCCCTTTTTAAGCCGATTTTTACATCTTTCATTCATTATCGTATAGAATTCAGTGTGAACAGATGAATAAGGCATCTTAAAAATGCATTTCGATGGGTGAAAAGGCAAGATTCTAAGCATCAGCTCAATCAATATTAATTTTTTAAGTACATATCACATCATATTCAACAACTAAAAAGTCCATATTTGTATATTATTAAAAAC